AAAAAAGTATATGGAAAAATAAAAATCAAGTTTAAGTCATTTTATTCGACTTTACGTCTGTCCGCCACAAATATTGAAGTCGTAATATCACTAGATAAACGTTTAAAGCACATAAAATCATATTAAAATATATACAAGTATGTACTGTATTTACAGTACACGCATTCGTAAATTTAGATTACTTTTTTTGTACTATATTAAAAACTAAAATTTATTTGTTTGTAAGCTTAAAATAGATTTTTATTAACCATATATTATTTAAAATGCTTTCCTAGTGATAAGTAGATTCGGAGACAGGTAAATTCGACTTACGTCGTTTTCCTGGAACCAATTAACGACGTAAGGCGAGGTATACCTGTACTGTACATATTGTACATATTATTTACATTTTTATCCAATTTCAGGTATAAAGAGAATCCCAAAATGTTTGTGTGTGAAACAGGCAATTTTTCTTTCATACATTTTGGGATCACCATAATCTTCATGCAAGATGATGCTCTCCCACATATAGGCTTACATATGTAAATCTTACTGCAACAACATTTTTACATGAGTGATTAGCCAATTATTTCCAATGTCATAGCCACCAAATCATCAAATCTAATCTCAAAGTTTGTGAATTTTGATTATGGGGCTACCTAAAGAGCCTTGTTTATCGAGCCAATGTTTCCAATCTGGTTGCCTTAAAAAGCAGAATTTCACGTGTGCTGTGCAACAAGTCCATTGTCAAGTGTGTTGTACAGCAAATGTAGTTTTTAGGTACATGAAGTTAGAAAGTACATAGATCCATATCTTTGATGTAATCATCAGTTCCACATTTCACATATGTAATTGAAATAAAATGTTTCACTTTGTTTGTTAACTCATGAAATTTGTTAGAAAATATGTATTTGTTCCAAAAATTAAAACTGCACACTTGGGACAGTGTGTGTACCAAATTTGGTTGAAATTTGCCAATAGTTCTTTTTCAGAGAGCTCTGAAAACCTACTCTTTAATTATGATCACTGTACATTAAATTTTATGTTGAACTTTTACAACTTTTCAGAGTTTTTGTTTTTGTATTTAATTTCAGTCAGCCTAAAGCTTTTCCAGCCATGTTCTCTTTTAATATTTTTCTTTAGTAAAATGAAATTAGATGAAAAATCTTTGTACTGTTAATAGAAAAATATAAATTAGAATCAAAACATTTACTTATATTTATACAAGTCAAACTTCATTATTAGATTAAACATTATTTGAAGCTGCTCCATTCCATTTTTAGATCTAATTACAAAAAATATTCTAAAGATCATAAAAGATAATGAAAAGTAAAGGATGTTTTGGAATAATAATTGAAAGTTTAAGAATGTTTTTAAGTAGTTGATGAAATAATTAAAATGAAACAAGATAAAGTGTAAAAAGTAAAATATAAAATTAAAAATTGTTATAAATAACACACAAAAAGTACAACCGTAAAAATTTGTATTGATATTTAATAACTTAGAATTAATATTTACTTTAGAATTAAAATGGGAATCAATCTGATGGGCATCAAATTTAAGATGTATTTTTTACTTACCTATTCATTCATTAATTATTTGTAAATTAAATGGCTGTTACTAAATTAAATTAATTTAAAAAATGTTTTCAGTTACAGAATTTTCAAAAAAGACGGGAGATTATCCTAGTTTATCAGCCACAGATATACAACTGATTGCATTAACATTTTTACTTGAAAAAGAGAATGTTGGTGTTGACCATTTAAATATTAAAATGCCACTGAAACAGGTATTATTTTCTTTTAATTAAAATTGCATATTTTTATGATGCATTATTTAGTGTACAAATAACTTAAATTACTTTTGTATGACTTAAATGTGTTTTTAGTGACATTTAATACACTCATGTTTGTGAAAGTTGCAACACCATGAAGGAATTGTGCAAATTGAACCAAACTTACAGGAAATGTAAAGTGAGGTAAGACATGCAAATGAGTAGAATTACAAAGCAATTGCGCATGCATGGAACAAGAACCAACTCCTTATCAGCCGCTTGTTCCAGGTATATAAAAGACTGTAAAGACATTTTGAAATTCGTTTATCTTCCTCTATCTGTGGTAAACGTTTCATTGGTGGTCAATATGTCTCGTCAAAAGCAGAGGAAGCCATACCAACAACTAACGGAGCTCATACAAGGCCACATCGTTGGTATGCAAGAGGGTGGATTTTTGTATCGAGAAATCACAGCCCGCATGCAGTGTAATGCCACAACAGTGATGTGTGTTTGGAAGAAATGGACAGAGGAGAACCAAATAAGGCAAAAACCTGGCAGTGGGGCAAGTAATAGCACAATAGCACGGGATGACAGACACCTGATCTGCATGGCTGTGACAGACCATACAGTATCCTCTCGTGTGTTAGCACAATGTTGGAGCACAGCTACAGGTGTTTTGTTGTCTAGCTCCATGGTTCGTTGCCGTCTGCTGCAGCATGAACTACGTACAAGGGTTCCTCTATGCAGGATTCCCCTCTCCCTTATTTATAGATGCCTTCAACTTCAATGGGCTCAGCAACACAGCACGTGACATGCCCAATGGCAACAAGTTGTTTTTTCCGATGAATCTCAATACAATCTGCAGTACAATGATGGAAGAGTACGCATCAGATATTAGAGGGGAACGTCTTCTCCCGCATTCTGTTATACAGCGTCATACCGCACAAACACTTGGCATCATGGTGTGAGGAGCTATTGGGTATAATTGTCAATCCCATCTAGTGCATATTGCGGGTAACCTCAACAGTGATCGCTACATACAGGAAATTGTGGAGCCAGAGGTCCCCCTTCTTCAACTCATTCTGGGTGCTGTATTTCAGCAGGATAATGCCCATGCACATGTTTCTCAGACTGCACAAGAAGGCTTGTGCCTTCTTCAGTGCACAACAGGTTTCGCTTCTTCCTTGGCCTGCTTATTCCCCGAATATGTCGCCCATTGAGCGTATCTGGTATCTGGCATGCATTGGTTGGCAACTTGCTCGTACAGCTGGTGGGGCACACAATAAGACTGAACTTTGGCATCAAGTCTAAGCCATCTGGAATGCCATTCCTCAGGATTACATTTAGAACCTATATGATTCAATGCCATGACGTGTACAGGCTCTCATCGCTCAGTGTGGTAGACACACAAAGTACTGATTTCCGACATTCTTTTTGTTTTTTTGTCTTGTAAATTTGGTCATTTATTTGTACCACTATCAGTAATATGTGGAATAAATTTCATTAATTTCTGACAATTCCTTCATGGTGTTGCAATTTTCACAAACATGAGTGTAATTGTATAAACAGGTAAATAAAAGATTTATATTTCTAATTATGTTATATTTTGTAGTTCTCAGAAAGCATTATGATTCTGTTCAAAATCATATCTTATTTGTTTTTATATCATAATATAAAGAGCTATTTGGTCTGATTCTTTAAAAGTTGTAGGAATTTGATTTGTCTCACAGATTCTTGTTCTTCTTGATTATATATCAAATAATCAATGTTATGTACTAAATGTTGGACTCTTAAATGATGACAATATAATCTTTTAACCAATATTGGATAATACAAAGTTCTGTTTTGTTATGAAATCATTTCTGGTCCCATGAAAAGAGATAGGAATTTTAATATAAAGTTGTTCAGTTAATATGTAATATAAAGAGCATTTTGGTGTCCAGAATACAGGAGTTATGCTATTAAAATTAGTTAATATGCATTCCTGGAAGGATTTTTTTTCTATCACTAATGTCCATGTCTGGAAAAGGATTTATTCATGTATGTTTAAACTCAACTGTGTGAAAAAAGTTGAAGTCTCTGTTATTGTACTGCCAAATGGCAACATAATCTCTGATCTTAATGAATCTACTAGTAAAATAATGCAAAAGTAAAGCACTTTTGCATTATTTTGATAATTCTGAAAAAGATGATGATAATCATAGATTAATGCATCTTGAAGCAGAGACTCTTATCTATTGTATCTTGATTCTTCATTCTCCCAATCTGACTATGATACAGTCCTTAGATCTAATAGAATAATAAAACAATTTCATACAATAAATACCACATTTATAGGTTTTTTAACTGTTGCCTAAAATTTGGTATTTTTCCAGGTCCATGGAAAGAGGCCAGTTATATTGATACCCAAGAATGATTTAAAGTTCTTGAACTGGGAAATATTAGATATATAAGCAGTGCTGCCTTTTATAGGGTAATATTTAGGGTTAAAGTGCCCTGTGATCTTATGCCTATTACCCATCACATCACAAATTTTGCCAGAAAAAGTTTTAGCCTAAAACTGGTCTGGTTGTCCCTATGACTGGAGGGTTTTAGGATAGGGCAACAGAAGCTAAAGAAATAAAGCAGATTGGTGGTTTCATTTGAACCTTCAAAATGAATGATAAAATGCAAATATATATGTAACTAAATAAATTTTTAAAACTGATCATTTACATATTAAAGTATGTTTGAAATCAAGTGAATGGCTTATTTAATTTTCTATCTTCAGCTAAGATACACAATATATGTTGAAAATGAATGAATTAAAATTAAGTTTTAAATAATCAGACTTATGGGTATATTTTATAATTATTCAAAGATCAGGTGAGATTTTCTTGTTTGTCAAATTGGGATTACCAAACTAAAACATCAATTATCCTCATATCATATTAATACCTCTGATAAAGCCTAAAAATCGTAAGACATTTTAGTTATTAAGATTTCTAAAAACAATGAATTAAGAATTGTTCTGATTATTATTTCACAATAATAGTACAGGGATATGCATCATAGAATCATTTGTCTTATTTTTTTTTATCCGATCACGATTTCAAGCTCAAGCTTAAAGAGTTTTCTCAATTTAGGATAATCTAGAGTAAAATTTAGGTGCTGACAGGGTAATTAAACCAGAAGCAGGCGGCTGCACTGTATATAAGTCTACTTTCTTCCTTGGAAAAGTGCCTTGAGAAGCTCTTCATCAACAGATTTTTAACTGTCATTTACATCATGGAAACTTTTTGAGTAATGACCAATATAATTTTATGACCTAGCATTTCACTGAGGATGCCATCTTTAAATTGTGTGATGTCATACAACAAGGAAAGAGAGATTGACATCTCTTCTAATATTTCTGGATATCAAAGGAACATTTGACAATGTGTGGTGGCCCTCAATTTTAAAACTTATCAGAGTTACCAAAGTAGTGCAAAATATTTCTATTTGCTCAAATACTTCTTACAGGTCAGAACAACTGAGTTTAAATTAGTTGTTGTTAAAAAAAAAAAAACTGTTTCTTAAGTAAAGACTATCCTCAAGGCTCTGTATCAGGATTCCTTCTCAGAAATGTTATCATTAACAACCTGATAATTAAATTTCAGATTACTATAAAATTGCCATTGCAGATATCCTCTGATATTTTACAAAGTAAAGACATTTCGAGCATATGTTTATAAGCACAGAATATTCTGGATTTTGTTTCTCACTGATCTAATGCATACAAATTGGAATTCAATCCACTGAAAAGTAAAGTGATGATTTATAGCAAAGGAGTGAATAAAACAACTGCTTTCTCCTTAAATCTTGGAGGAGTTGACCTCAACTTCATAAGTGAAATAAAATATCTGGGGGTAATTATCAATCACAAATGCAGTGGAAGAGGCATGTAATCTACATTTCTGCTAAATGTGAGAAAATTCTCACCAGTTTGTATCATGTTGCCAATATGAAATTTGGTATTAATTATAATCTTAAACTGATTTATAAGCAAGGGATTGTCCCTTTCATATCTTATTGCTCCAGATCTTGGGGCAATGCTTTAAAGAAAAAGATTATCTGCCAATTGAGAAGAATGCAATGGAGAATATGCCTGCAAATTGTTCTTGGATATAGAACAATCAGTTACGAAGCAACTTTTGTTCTGGCAGGTTTTTCATCTAATGACTTGGAGATTGCCTATAAAAAATGGATTCTATCTATACTTCTACAGTGAATTATACTCCTTGAACAATCTTAATTAAAAACTTCCTCATTTGTCCAATCTACATCTAATTAACATTGTTAATTATGACAAAGACATGGTAAACCATTACAATAGAATTTGTTTTACAGACAGTAACAAAATGGATAGCAAGGATGTTCTAACATATGTTATTTATGATGAAGATTCTGAAACTGAATATTGCCAATAACAAATAAATGATTAAAAAAAACCGTTCTTCAAGCTGAATTGTTATGTTTAAATTTGGCTGTTAAATGGTTTCAAACATGTGGCTAACCATTCTCAAAATTCCCGATATGTTCAGACTCTCTCATCCCTTCATTTATTTGAGAAAATATCATGTTCAGAAAAGCTAATAATTGAAACCCTATTAATAATTAAGTCTCTAAAAACCAAAGATACAGACATTCATTTTGCTTATGTATGAGATATAACAGAATTTTTGGAAATGAGATAGCTGATTTCCTTTCGAAGGACCATTCAATCTTCATATGTCTTATTAATTAAAAAGCAGGCAATTACAATCCCATCTCGTCCATATTAAAGATATTCCTTGCTTCATATGAATTCAAAACGGATTTGTGATATCTCTTTCAGTTATCAACTGCCTCTACATTAACCAATGCTTGCTCTCCAGAGACATAGTGCCATTTTATACCATGTCTTTGCTGTAAATGATTTAAATTTTGTAAGTTTATGAGACTTTACAAAGTTTAAATTTGCTACTGGCTATTTAAAAATGTTAAAAAAACAAAAACAGTTGTTGGCAACATATAAGATGACCATGTATTCTAATTTTAAATTGTTCTTGCACAAAAAAATTGATATGCAAGTTTGCAAATTTTAACAGATTTCCATTTAAAAACCTGTTTACTACAACCTCAAAATATTTATGTTATTTATATTTCTATACATCAAACCCTCTGTTTTTAAGGTAATATCCAAGTATTATAATTGGATTAATATTTTTTTTAAATTTACAGCATATTTCTCATGCCCTATGCAAGTATTACAGCAATAAGTTAACAAACATGAAACATGTACAGATATGCAAAGCAACATATAAGTAAATACAAAAATCAAATACCTCACATCAATTGATAACATATGGGAACATCATGGAAAGGAATAAAAAATTAGCAAAATGTGCAAAAGTTAGAAGGGAAAACCTGGAATTTGCAAAAAGCAGTGTATGGAATCAACCATGCTTTCCCCAAACTCTCAAGCTTCTGGCAAAAATGTTCTCTTTCTTTTTGCATGTTGGAGAAGCAAAAAATAATATGGTCAACATCTTGCTGACCAACAGTATAGGTACACAATGCTGTGGGTCCTAGTTTAAATCTTTCCAAGTAAGACAAAAGTTCCCATGGCCAGCGAGGAATTAGATTAATTTGAAATTGGTAAAAAAGAGTTTTTGGCTGACAATCTTTGAAATATAGTAGGAAAGAACTTTTTAGTCACACCAGCTTTGCTTGAGTTAACAAATTCATTATTCCAGAAGTCCAACATCTTTTGCTTAGAAACAGTTTTCCAGTGGCATTTTAGGATGCATATGTTTAAAGATATTTGCTGTGAAGTAGTAACAGTTACTGCTATTGCTTTCAGAAAACCAACTCTAAAAATTGTGATATCGACAATGACCAAGATGACATAAATCATTTCTTATACAAATGTACCAAATATGAAAATCAACGTGCCCAGTTCAAGGCCTCATGCTTCCATGCAGGCTACAACTGGCCTCCTAATGAAAAGGACCTAGTCACGAACAATACCTTTTTTAGGGCATTCAGAAAATTTATCACCAAGACCAGCACTCTCACCCAGATCACCTATTTACACCAATGTATGTTGACCCCAATTAAATGAGCAATAATGACTTACCAGCTTCTACTGACATCAACAATGATAACGGTGGCAAAAGTGATGATTCATCATTCTGACTGTCAAAGTTCACACCCCAACTGTGGTCTGCAACTTTCCCATCAGTAACAACCAGGACATTGTGTTGTCCATCTGCCTCTGACTGTATGTGAAGTTTTTGTGCTCTCCTCACTGCTTTGCTTTATTGTTATTTTCACTGCAATGTAACATGTTACTTGCATTCCATATTGCACTTATCCTTTGCATTATCTGACATGTCGGCACAACCAATTTTCCTTTGTGTTTAACTTCCCAACCTTTTGTATTTTCACTCCAGTGGTGGGAAGCAGTGCAGTGTTTATCATTATGTAAATGATACTCCTTATTATTCAAATTTTTCCTATTGTAATACCAGCATCACTGTGCCTATATTGTCATGCTTGGTCTATTGCTTTGTGCATCTGCCTTTATTTCTGTTATTATTTTTGTATATTGTTTTTATGCTATATTGTTCTTTGTTTTCTATGTTGTAACTTATCCATTATTGTAAATATCTGTGTATTCATCCCATTTTTTTGTAATTTTTGTATAATTTTGGTCCTAATAAATACCAATGCAGCTCTTGGGCCCCCTTCTCCTTCTTTTTCACTTTCTAATCAATCTTTCTCTTCATTTTCTTCATCTTAAGTTCTTCCCAGCCTTTTTTCTTTTCAACCCTTAGGACAAAGTCAGTTTATATAACAGATAGCCCTCTAATCCTTTATAACAACAACAACACTTTACCTCCAAAATGGAGCATTTTTGATTCATTAAGAAATGTGGCTTATGCCTAGGAAAAACCTGAAGTGATTTCTAATTGCTTTAGGAAGGTTGGTTTTTATCAAAAAATAACATAGATGTAAAAGATAAGCCAGATATGGGCTGTGAAAATTCTGAAGAAAAATGGACAGCACTACAGGAAATATAAATCTTCAGTCTGACTTTAGAGACTACATCCAAATTGATGAGTTAGAAACCAGTAAGATTCCCATGGAGGAAGAATTAGCCAGAAAAGGCATTAACATCAAAGGAGAAAATGAAATGGAGGCAATAGATCATGATGTAGAAACAGGTTGTAGCTTACTGCCAAAAGCACCATACTGAGAATGTGTTAATGTGTTTGGTTGATTGTTCTCTGGAACATTTAAGTCATTTCAACAAATTAAATGATAGAACAAATACAAACAAAAATAGTGCAAGCACATATTGATTCATTTTTCAAACTATTTTAAAATATAGCTTGCATTAATAAAATACCATACCTTTATTAGTGAGATTATATACCTGAATTGCTTTTACTAACATTTTCAACACAATTACCTTGCCGCCTTGAATAAAATATAGCTGTGATTTAATTTAGTTATTGCTTATTTGAGTTTCAAAATGGCTTGGGGAAGACAATTTAGTTTGTCATTATTTACTGAGTGAACAAACATCATGTCCCCATTGAGTTTGGTTAATATTAACCTCATTATTATGAAGTCTGTATTTTTTAGTCCCCTGAACTTCATAATAATAAAGAGGTTTTACTGTATTTATCTTTTATGTCAGTATCATAAATATTTAAACATATCTCTTTAATTAGATTTAAAATTTAATTTAAGATTAATTTGAATTTTTTGTTTTATACATATGTATATAAATATTTACTTACAGACAAGCATTGAACCTTATTCATCTGATAAGAATGCTTCGTTGATTGGATTTTATTTTCCTCCTGATGTAAGTTAAAGTTACAGTTTATATAAATTTATAATGTGAAATTGTGCAAATCAGTATATATAATTCTAATTTCATAAAAGAATTGCCATGGCCATAACATTGCACAACAAAATACAAACAGACTGATACTAGCCATTTCATACAAGGGATTGTCCTTTTTTCTTGAAAGCCAGCCATGCATGTTTGTGCCATACAGCCACATATTGTTATGGTGGAAAGAGATAGATGAAGCAGATATGACCATTGTTCAGGATGATTCAAGTGAAATAAGAGAAAAATTTATTATTACCATAGTCCACCCAAAACATTACTCATTTACATGTAATTTATGAATGAAGTTTAATCAAATTTTTGTAGAACAACATACTGAACTGTGTTGCTTTTGGTTGTATTAAAAGAAGTAAAAGCAAAACTTCAAATTTAATCTTTCAGGGATAAATTTTAATCTAAATTTTTTCACAAGTATCTATATTTAAAATTTAATATTAAAGCAATACCTTTCACACTTTTCCAGTGAGAGATTTATTTAATGTTTTTGGTTTATTTCATAAACTTGCTACAGGTTTAGAATTTTTTAATTTAATACATGAGTAGCTTGATCCTTTGCTTGAAACAATTAAATATCTCTGCTTTGGATTAATTGATTAATTTACCAATTAAATTAAATTACATTTTAATTTATCAAATTAATTTATCAAAGGTTTCACTTGGATCATCAAATTTTGTGAATATTACAGATAGTAAAACTGTTGTAGAGTGAAAATGAGAAATGTGAGTGTTCTATAAAGATGATACAATGCCAAAATTTTCCCAATTCTGATGCAATTCCAATTATTTTGAATACTTTCTAAAATTTATTTTAGTTTAGAAAAATTAATGATTTACATTATGAACATGGTACATTCATTAATTAATAAACATCAAGCTTAAGAATCAAAAATTATAGGAAATCCAGAATCAATCTTTTAAAAGATACCTGAAAATTCTCTATTTATATGTGATGCATATTCACATATAAATGTCTTTATTGTGTAATACAAAATGAATTTGTAATCTTATTTTAAATAAAGTTAATATTGCAACATTACCCCAAAGAAATTAAAGCTAATTCCCTTTTACTCAAAGAACTATCCCATCATGTCACTTATCATCATGTGGAAATTTACCATCTTTGGAAATTGCTTCATTGGCTGATGCAATGACCAGGGAGAACAGGAAGGTAAATGAGAAGATAAACTTCTTTTATCATGCTGCTTTCATTGGTATGCTTGTAAATGTTTTTTAATTCCATTGTATTTAACAGTAAATGAATTCAGCAAATGATGCAACAAACTGATTAAATATCATCAGAATAGAAGAATTAGGCAAATATCTAAACTGTAACTCACTCATCTTGAAAAAGCAATTTTAAAACTTCAAATTGCAGTAGACTTAGTGCAAACAAGTATATTTATTTAGAATTGTACAAATAGCATTTGAAAATGTAATGTACTACAGCATACAGTTTGTGAATTATAACAAAAACTTTCATAATTATAATGAGAAGGTCATTTTATCATTATAAGTAAATATACTAAATATTAAAAATAATTTTATTTAATATTTTTTCAATCAAAATATAATTTTGTTTATATTTTAAACTATTTTGCCAACACTTTAATAATTTTGTTGATTACTAGCCTTGATTTGAAATTGCCAGTCATGCCAATCCAATACCAGTTGGGTGGTATGTCTAATGTCACCATTTTTCCCCTAAAATGGCAACAGTTAATACTGACTGAATGCAATCTCTCATTGCTCTGACTACATGAAAGAAAGTCTACCATGACAGACATCATTTCTTGTGTGGGGAGTCACATAGTCTAGTCTCTGCTTTGTCAGCATGAAAGTTTCCAATAAACTAATACTTAATTGTTAATATTGCAATTTAAAAAATATTTAAATCTTCAATTGAAACAAATAATCAACAATCTTATAAATGTTGAAGAATTGTTTTAAGAATCAGAAATCATAATGAGATTTTTGTCATACATTCCCCAAAACTAATGACTTGGTGACAACATTGAACCTAATTTGACACTAAATGATGTTCCTACATTATATTTTATATGATCATTACCATCATGCACTCAATACTTCATATTTTCTGACTTCATAACAACTCTACTTATTTCTAAATTTCATAATTGCTATTCATAATTAAATTGCTTCCAATTAAATAATTGAAAAACAAATAATAACAAGCAGCTGTTTCAAACCTGTTTTAACTATTTTTAATATGTCTCACTCAAATTTTGGACCATTCTATATATTGAAACATATTTCTATACTTTTATATTTTTTTATTTTGCATAAAAACAACAATTTTATTGTATTATATAATTATATAATTCTTAGATTCAAGTGTTATTCTTACTAAAATAGTTATGTGCTAAATTGTTAAGACAAATTTTTTAGTCATATTTGTAATTTACAATAATAATTCTTTAAAATTTGTATAAAGCAAAATAGTTTTTATGTAGTATCTATTTATTATTTAATTATATCAATTATAAATAAATATAATTTAAATATTTTTTCTAAAAAACGTAAACTTATTATGCTAAATGTAAATAGTATTGTAAAGCTTTTAATAATTCTTCTGATATGTAAAGGATAGTGATAAAGAAAAGAACAATTTTCTGACTTACATATCAGTGTAAAAAAACTTTTTGAAGTTTATATATTTTCTTTTCACTAAATTTTTTGCTATGAGATTTTGACTGATAAAAAAATTAATAGTAATTAGTTATACACAAATATTTCATTTATTATAGTTAATTTCAGTTTGTTTACATTTAAAACTAAATAGATTGATAGAAAATAAATTTTCCTATCAATATGTAGGAATACTAATTTTGTCTTTTAACTTAATTTCAAATTATTACTTATTACAGATACAAATTATAAAAAACTTATGTTAAATTTTTGATTTCTTAACATACAGAATTACCCAATGTTTTGTTGGGTAATCCTGTGTTTTCATGAAAGTCTGAAACTTTGCACCATAAACTGCTAAAGTTCGGATTGCCGAAAAGTATCTAATTAGAAATATTTGTTGTTTTTATTTTATTTTATTTTTTCCAAATTTAAATTTGTAGTTTTTAGATGCAAAACAATTTGTTCTGTTTATTCTGTTAGCTGATGACCTAAATGAAGGTCAAAAATTTAATATTTTTTTATATTACCAAGTTCAGGTTACAAGAAAACAAATATTTTTGGTAACCTGAACTTTAGTAATTTATTTGTTTTGTTCTAATTACTTAGTGTTTAAGTCCAAAGATGTAAGGAAATTACATTTTTAGAATTACCATTAAATTTAATTCAAAACATTATTATTTTCAATTTTTAATGTTGTAAGAATTTTGAATAAAGGAAATCATTAAAAAAAGCTTTTATAAACTTTTTTTTTTCCTGTAGGAATCTTCTGAAAGAAATTTAAATGAAGATGAAAAAAATAATTTAGAAACTGAGCCAGAAAATAGGAATTTGGATAATATTACTAATTCTAAAGGTATTTGAATATATTTAAAATGCTAAAGTTTCATCAAAATAAAAAATTTTTAAATTAAAGAAAAAACAATATTCAATGCTGTTAAAAATATATAAATTATAGTATGTATGATTAAAATGATAGAGGCAATTATTTTTGGTTTGTAAGTAAACAATAAAGTTGTATAAATTTGACGATTAAAACAGTCATCAGCAGTATGTGAAACATTGGCCTTAATGTTTTTTGTATGTGAGATCAATATGAATATTTTTAGTTAGAACTGTAATTACTAAAGCTATGTTAATATTATTATGTATTAAGATTACTGTAATGATATATGATGATTTAATATAAATAATGAATTAAAAATAGTTTATTTTCTTTATTTTTAAATACAGTTGACCCCCCCTATAACACGGTAGATATGTTCCGGTTTTTATGAAATTCGTGTTTTACGAGTCCTTAAATACGTGAGCCAATCACATCCCGGCATGTATGCAGTTTACGGACTATGGCTGTTTGAAAGGTTTTCTTCCATAAAATTAATCAATTCTAGACTAATTTGACTCAACATTTCCAAAATACGTATAATTTTTTGGGAATAATCCATATAAACTATGCTATAAACAAAAAATTGTAGGATTACTTACTGAGTGTGCACCATTCTACCACGCCATTGCTTAAGCTTGTTTTTGTCGTGAAGCAGTGCATCAAATGGCGCTCGCATGCTTCCTGATAAATTATTTTTCTGCGAAAACTTTGCTGAACTTTGGAGACTTAATATAAATATAATTTTATGGCCGTTAAATAATAAATGGTTTTTAGTAGGTTCGCTGCTCGTTTAAACTCAATGGTTTGTGCAATATCCGCTATTGGTCTAGATTCGACCAATCCTGTCATGACACGAGTCGGCGATGATGTTTTACTGAAGTATACAAGTCTTTTAGTGTGTTTATACAAATACAATGGCAATTTTTTTCACCGTCATATAGGAATCTGAACTATATGAACCCGTTTTATAGGGGGTCTACTGTACTAAGTTTTAAATTGTATATATTGTAAAAAATTATCATTTTTACTGTTAACAGAAACAGAAAATCAAGAGATGAAAAATGAAAAAGAAGTGGATTTACCTAACAGCATTGATATTGAGTACAACGAAACTAATGATAGCGATGATGGTGATGATGAAGGTTGGATTACACCTTCAAATATTGAAAAAGTGAAAAAAGAAATGAACTGTCTATCTGTTGATGATTCTCCTATTACTGTTGCTTGTATAACTACAGATTTTGCAATGCAGGTTAATATTATATATTTCTAGTGTTATATTACATTTCCTTTTTAATTTGTACTGCTTAATATCACTTGTTAAAATTTTAAACATTCTTAAGCCTGGACTCCACATTACCTGAAAACAGAAACTCAGAAACAGAACTGAAACATACAGAGTTTTCATTTCAGTTATGTTTTCGTTTTAACTTGACGCCACTAGAAATGCGCCATCTGTTGGTCAGTTCTGTAATTGTCGTAGTCAAACACGGACGACGCTACGGATTTTGCCACGCTTTCTCTGCATTTATTAACAATGAAATTGTAAATAAGCTTTGAATTATTTACATTTTTTGTCGTACAGACATCTGTATTTTCAAACTTCTTCGATGAAGAATTCTAAATCTATTTGTTTCCTCGTCGTTTTCGCTACACTTTCTGCCATTACGACAATCAAACTACACGACTAATGCACGTGACTACGCGTCACAAATGCTTGCGTTTTTATTGGCTGCAGTACGACAGAAGCGCGGAACGAAAACGAAAAAGTTAAATAATTTTTAACTCCGCTTTCAGTCTTGTTTCTGTTCAACTGAACGTTACAAAACTGAAAGTTTCGTCAGTTTGGCTTTCAGTTTTACGATTACGTCGCGGATTCCGGTAATGTGGAGTCCAGGCTTTACAATCATGCATAGTAATAAAATATTTAAGTATTAAGTGTGCATGAAAAACAAATGTATATGATAAACAAAAAGAGGTTATTGATGATAAACAAATTCTAATTTGAAGATTGTTTATAATTAATTTTTGAATGTTACAATTGTTACAGCCATTTGAAAATTAGATACAATTTATTTTTCAAGAGGGTAAAACAGTTTTATTTTTAAAAAGATGTTAAAAGTTTAAAGATATTAGAGAAAGATGATTAGGGTATATAGAACCGTTCACCTATCAGAATGATAGGATGGAATCATGGTAAATACCCATGATTCCATCTTATCATTTTGATAGTAAAGATTTATAAGAAAGCATATTTTTCTTTATGGAAATTTACTGTCTGAATAGGGCAAGTAGAATGCATGCAACTGTAAATATAAATGAAATACTATTTTCCCTTATAACTAAAATTGGATAATATATTCATTGAAATTTGTTTCATAATAAGAGAATTTTAAGTACAATCATGTAATATTTTCCAACTTTTATAGATGTTTCTCTAACTGTCAAAATTCCTTTTAGACAGTACATTTTCACTTTAACAATTCATTAATCAAATTTATTTTAATTACAGAATGTCTTAATTCAAATGGGCCTTAAAGTAGTATCAGTGGATGGAATGCAGATTCGTAAAGTGAAAACTTTCATTCTTCGTTGTCATGCTTGTTTTAAGTAAATAACAATTTTATATCTTGATTTTAAAATTAAATCATAATAGTATAAATAAAAATAATAATTTACTTATAATTTTTTAAACATTTAAATATTTAATATTTTTCTATAATAATAATATGTTTTAATTTTGTTCAATCATTCACTAATTAGAATAAAATCTGAACTCAAAATAAATATTGACTTCTCATGTAGATTTTATAATTCAGATAAATTCCAAAATTTAAAAATTTTAGAAAATTCAAAGAAGTCTTTCATAATTAGTCATAACAAGTTGCTAAAATATGGAATGCTAATTATATTATTATAATTGGTTTAATTAGTGAATGATTGAAGAAAATTAAAATATATTATTAATTTACATTAATGAATGAATATGCTACAGAATTAATTACATTATTTAAGATTATCACTTTATATTTAAATAAAATTATTTTAATTTAAAAGCAGAGAGAGATCAATATTGTTATAAAACAAAAGAAAATAAATTGTACATAAAAATTTAACATATTTTAAGATTCCTATTCCTCATATAAACACTCAATGTAAAATTAAAGTTAAAATATAGAAATAAAATTATGTTAGGAGTAAAATTCTTTATAATTTTAAACAATAATTATTGAGAGAGACTTCTTTGGATACTTTACTTGTATATAATAACCAAACCATGACAGAAACCTTAAAATGCAGTGATGTTTTTAATTTTTGGTCATTTTTTTATTGACCTCTTTCAGAATAAAATGGTGATCGAATGATGGTTTTTGTTTGAAATGAATGGAACATTCTAAATGGAATCAAAAAATTCAATATGGCATTCTCATTTTGAGTTTTTTGCTTTAGAATCATATTTAAATTATATTAGTTAGAAATATAATTATGTTCCATTAGTTTTGAACAAAAATCATCATTTGATCACTATATTATCTTGAAGATCAATAAAAGAAGACAAAATAAGTTTGAAAATTAAAAATGTCACTGCATTTTAAAGTTTCTATCATGGTGTGGTTATTGCGAGAAATTTCTTGAACAAAATTTTTTGATTTTTATCATAGTTTTTACTTTTATTAATAATTGTAGAAATGTTTGCATCATTTAATACATAACAAATTATAATTCCTAAACAAATGCACAGATATTTAAAATGTAAAGAAACCAAAGATAATTGATTCAAGGATAAATAGTTTTTGTTACTTCATCAGATTATCAATAAGAACTTTATCACATAATAAGGATAATGGAATTCAAAGTTTAAAAGTCTGTGTCAAGCTCATATATATATATATATATAACTTGAACATTTCTGTGCATTAAGCATGAATCAAGAATATTGAAATCTTTAAAAATTTATGATTTCTGTTGAAATGTTTTATTTTTAATACCAGAAAATGTTGTTTGTTTATTTTATTTTTATTTTGTTGTCATAATAACAACAGTTCTTTGATTATATTTATTTATTTATTTTTTTTAAAGAACTACAAGTGATATGAACAAAATATTTTGTCCCAATTGTGGTAATAGAACATTGAAACGTGTTTCTGTAACTGTAAATGATGATGGAACAAGATTGATCCACATAAACTTTCGGAAACCAATTAATATTCGTGGTACCAGAGTAAGTCGTATTTTAATTTAGAATACTTCAAAATATATGTGTATACAGTAAAACTTCTCTAACGCAAAGCTCCAAGGGACTTTAAGTTACAGACAATTCAAATTAGAGAATAATAGAGTGAAAAATGCCAATTCTGAATAGATTTGTTTTTTTTTTTACCTCTTGCATTATATAAAGAAGTTTTTGAGTTTTTTGTTTTAAACAACCCATGTAATGCTCATTAGCAAAATGTTTATTGTAGCTAATAGAATTGAATAGTTTTGCAGTTACATCTTATTGAGTAAAGTAAGAGGTTCTCTCCCTTTGGACTGAAACACTGTCTGCAAATGGGCATTGGGCAGTAGAACTAACTGTGAAAATTTCATAAAAGTTGATGATTAGGATCATTTTGGATAGGAAAAATATTAATATTCAAGTTTGGAAAGTTGAAAATAACATAAATCAATGTCAGGAAATTCAAGTCAGAGATGTTAAATACCTATGCTATTCCAATTGAAACCTACCAAATGTTTCATTTTCAAGTTAGAGAAATAATCAAGTTACAGACATGAGTTAGAGAAGCTTTACTGTACTTACATTTGATCTGTCAAAGCTTTAAATAAAATTTATAGGTTAAAATAATATAATTAAATCTGCATTAAGGCATAAAACTTAAGTTGAAGAATATACATTAATTGTTATGATATTTAATGAAATTTAAATAATTTTAATAATATGACTTAAACATTCCACTTTTTATAGTATTCATTACCAATGCCTAAAGGAGGAAAGCATGCAGATAATCCACTTCTTTTTGAAGATCAACCTATTCCACAGAATAGACCTTCACATCTTGCTAGAAAAAAGGTGGATGTTTTTGATCCAGACTACATTGCTAATTCTTCTCCGTTTGCAATTAATGATGTGTATAGTCGAGCAGCAAACCTTGGCATTCGTAATCAAAAGTTCAATAAAAAAAATGCCAGAAGAAAAAAATAAACAATATTGTACTGTATAAATTTAATAATAAAATAATATTAATTTATACTTTACCGTTTCTGTAACTTACTTTTCATATGAAAAATTTTATTTATTTTTTTTAAAGCTCTGGCAATACAACTCTTGGGCGATTTGCCTAGGGGATGCTTTCTGGGAGGTCTTTTTAAGAGAACTGGACTCTATTTAGGCGTTACAGATGTGGAGAAAACCCAGAAAACTCCACGTGGCCATGACTGAACTCTAAGTGTTTAGGGTACGAAGACCGCTTGGCCACTGGTGGGCTTTTATTTAGTTAATTAATCATTAAAAAATTAATTATATTTTTAAAATTTTACTACGATGAAATTCTAAAATATTTATCATAAATTAAATATTTTTAATTTTAAAATGTTATGATAAAAGAATTATAAGATGCATTCATTTTATTCGAATAGTGTGCAGTACCAGCGGAATTGTCCGCCATTTTAGATCTTATCGTTTGCGTGTTTGCTATTGATAGCAATAGTTGAGGCTTGCTTCATGATTTTTTCTGAAAAAATGACAGGATATATTACTTCAACCTCCATTAATAACTCAAAATGTGACTTTACTTTTCATGGTTAACTAGGCCTGTTTTAATAAATTGTTTAAAATAAACATTTAAAAAATCTAGGATAAAAGAAAGTAGTGATGGATGAAAGCTTAACTCTTCCAAGGAATCGTTATTCTTAATTCGTAACTTACACGTTAGAAATATTTGTATGTTTATACATACCGTATAGTTCTGCCCTGTATAATAAGGTATATTCGCCAAATAAGACCCACCTAACGTTTTAAGACGTTTGTTTTTTCACTAGCTTATTAGAGGAAAAAGTGTGAAAGTTGTATTGCAACATACTGTAAGATGTGTACTTGCGGAAACATGAAATAAAAGTTAGCATCACTCGAAAAGTTTTCTGTAATAATATCAACACATTTTCCAAAAGTTATGTAATGGGTTTTATTTGGAACTGGAGGGTCCAAATATGAGCCATTAGTAGTTCCAAAGAAGGCTCACACGTAAAGAAAATAATTTATTAATTAAGGTAAAAAGTAAGAGCTAATTAAATTACAACAAATGTATTTAAATCCAATGAAATACAAGTAGCTTAAACATAAATGGGTGATTCACTTGGAACTGAACGCTTTGTTCAATAGATCATGATTGCACCGTGCATTTTAATAACATGTAATGTAAAACATACCCTATTCTTTATTTCATGCTTCGTCATGAAATAAAGAATCGTCCTGATTGTGTTTTATGCTCATCGTTTCATTTTGTACGGAGATATTCCACTTAATAAGTGTTCGTTTCCGAGTGCATCACACTGTAGCTTTAATAAGTTTAAATAATTTTTAATAAACATTAATTACCATGAACTAGCTAGCTTTACATCAAATTATGCTTTGTTTAACAACGGATATATATAGTGAAAATGTGATCAATGCGAAATCAACAAAATAGATTAAATTTTAATATAATACTGTATATAAAACAATTGTTAAAATCATGCATTAACGCTCACGACACAGGCTGTGAAAGAAATGTGACATCTAAGATCCAAAATGCCGGACAAGTCAGCTATCTTGTATGTAATACTTATAGTGTGTATTTATTACGTCAATTTGATATCATTCTTACAATTTTCTTAGAGCTCTAAATAACATATTTTCTTCTCTATTTGGTCTTTTAGATCATTGAATTATTGTGAGAATGTTTATAAACACTCTTTAGCAACAAAAATACAAAATATTTGACAATTATAATACCAAAGGTTTATGTTATTCCATTAATTTCTGTATGTTATAAATGATTATTTTAAATTATTAATTTAATATATATCATCCAAAAGTAAAAATCAAAATTTTAATACTAAAGTTTCTGGATTTTTAGTTTATTTTAAACTAATTACATTTTATTTTTATTTATAGATTAAAATTACCTTTAAATCTGAAATCACGGAGAAAATTTTATTTTACTAATTAACTTGGTATGATAAATTCTTTCGTAAGATAAGCTTTGTAAATATAAATAAAATACTGTAACATAATATAACAGAAGGGTTAAAAATTCGAAATAATCTAATAACCTTAATCTTTGCTGTTGTTATTTTTATACCCGAGCAACGCAGGGCTCATCTGTTAGTTAACAATTTGATAAACAATTTAAATAGAATACAGAGAAACAATATGTTTAAATAAACTTTATAACATTATATTTACAGAAAAATATACAAGTAGAGCGTCGATTTTCCGAGTCAATTGGGGACTGGGGTTGTTCGTATAACTGATATTTCGGATAACCGATTTATGTAAGAAAAAATAGTTTAACGTATCCGATGTTGAAATTTTTCTCCGTTGCGTGTCGCTTCGCGTTGAATTTTCGTCGATGTTAAGCCTAACAAAGACTATTGTATCGTTAAAAATTATTTTTTTATTTTGTACAAACNATATATATATATTACATGTATACAGAATATAGCATAAAAAACAATATTCACATGAAAGCACGATTTAAATGCTCATTTTTTTAGGCACATCGTGCGCAGCCTAAAAAAAATGAACGTTTAAATCACACGCACTCGAACTGGTACTTATTCATCGCACGAATCAGATGCAGTCAATCAGTAACAAGTAACGTCATCAGATGGTTTGACCTCATTTTCTACAAAGTGGCTCACTGGAATGATGCAGCAACTGAGAAATCAATAGTAGTATTATAAATATAGTAATATATTTTATAATGAGAGAATGAGTAGGCAGGACCATCAAGATTTAAGTGGGCCCTTTTTTTGGAACAACTAGAATGTTTCTTTATTAATAAAAAGCAATTTTTAATTTCTTTTATACGACTAAAGTAGTTGAATGGGAAGATGCCTCCCTGGTGGACTTATGGGGAAATTGACTCCTATTTAGGTGTTAAACGTGAAGAAGTCACGGAAAATTCACGACCAGCTAATTTGGTGAGGCATGAATCTACGACCAAGACCAGTGTTTAGAGGTTTTTTGCTTGAGTACATTGATATTTTCAGATTGGTGGTAAGGAAATTTCATTCCTCCGTGAGATTCCATCGCAGAGAGGAAATTAAAAAATGGCAAATTTCTGCATATTAAATACACAAGTCCAAAACTAAATCCCAAAGGCATTCACGAAGATAACGTTAAATTGCCTAACAGGAAGCCAGACATTATCATCCATTAAAACACCGATGACCAACATTCCCTGAGAAAACCTGACGTAAGGCAGTAGGCTTGTTCCTACATCTTACAGCATTCAATGTTCCTCTCAAGCACGTGAAGTATGTGGCTGTTTACCATAATGCCTCGCCACACCAATAGTGGTGTGCAGTGGTGTCTCGACACCACTGCAATTCCTGCAGTGGTGTCTCGTTCTCTAATGTTTGAAAGGAGATAGCTTCTTTGTTCCCTCCAAATGAAATGACAACAAGAATCGGGCTTTAAACAAAGGCTCATCTGTAAAGAAAATATGACTCCATGGATGTCTATAAACATCATCATCTATTTAAGTTCAAACGATCTCTTGTGAGAGGAAGTAAGAAATCTCGGAATAAAGCCATGCATCATGAAGCCCACGGTATATGGCAGTGTTTTTCAACCTTTTTCATTGAGTGGCATCCCTGATTGAAAAATAAAAAATCGTGACACCCTTGACCAGCGGCGGATCTAGAATCTGAATAAGGAGGGCTAATGGGCCAGATGAATTTTTTGTGAAAGCGAATATTACGTGCAACGCTGGGGTGAGGTCCCTTCCCCGGGAAAAAAATTTTTAAAATTGACAGTTTGAAGTAGCATTTTAATGCAAAAAAAGCATTTCTACCTGTTCAAAATCAAAATTTAAGTCCGTTGAATTTTGTCAAAGTACCTACATGTAAAATAATAGTCTCGCTATTGTTTTTTATATCTAGTTTTATTATCAAATATATTACCATTTTATTGATAAACAATTTTTGTTAAGTTTTTTATACTATTTTGATGCATATATAAAATAAATATTTCATTACTTTTTCTTATATTTTTCATATCAATTTAAAAAATTAAAATTAAAAAAAATGATTTAAAAATTGTTTATTTGTCATCATTGCTTTTGAATACTATGAAAATACTGTAATATTGCACCTACTTTGTGATTGAAACCGCACGTTTTTCAAAGTACAATGCAATGCTTTTTTAAAGTATATACAAGACACAAGTGTCCACGACGTTCTTTTCTGCTAGTTGGCTTGGTACTGGGACTGGGAATGTGAAGGCCAAGCAATGTAGTTTGGGTAAACTCGTGACAAATCGTGCGCACACGTAGCATAGAACATTACATTAACAAGCGATTAGTCATCGTTTCTTTGCTTAGTAGATATCTCTTAGCAAAATAGAACTGACAATGAATTATCTTGTACTACACTTTAGGCATTTTCTAGGAAATTTATTTAAGGCCCTAAACTTTGCGACATACCATATACCAGTGTTTTTCAACCGGGGTGCCACGGTGCCACGATTGGTATCAATCGTGGCACCGTGGCACCCCGGTTGAAAAATACTGGTATATGGTTATCTTGACGTATTTATCCCAGTAGTTGTGAGCTCCGAAGACAGTTGCTTACATTCTGTGACGCCTCATGATTAATTAAAACTAAATAACCTTCCCTTGGCATGTGTTCCAGGGGTAACCTTGGCCAGGAGGATTTTACTCGTTAATGAGCTACAATTTCAAAAAAATTGCAGTATGATAGCCCCAGTTGCTCTATAAAGTGATTGAAAATTGTTCTTCCCGATTGCGCTTCATTCAAGCCAGCTGTGGCACCCATATGCCGAAATCATGTTTAAACACTAATGGCATAAAATTAGCTTTTAAATAAATCCAACACTATGGCCATTAACATTATTTTTATGTGTTTTATTTCATTTTAAATTTGTATACCTCTAAAAAAACACACTGTATTTTATTAAATGAATGACGTAATAAATTAGTTTGAAAAATAGTTTCTCTCGCTCCGGCTACTACGAGAATAGTTATTCTCCGATGGTTGACAAAATTCAAGTATATTGTAGAATTTTAAAATATGAATTTTGGAAAAAAATATACCAGTCATCTTCAACTGCTCTGTTCCCAGAAATTAAACCGGTGAATAATAAACTGGAACAATTTTATTAATTACATTTTTCAGTTTTCTCTTCTTTTAGTTGTAGAAGTTAGATTTTGATCTGAGTTTTATTTTTTCATTGTGTTTCTATTGACTATTATGTTATAGAAGCAATAATAAACAGTTATAATAAAAAGGCAGTAAAAAAGTTAATTTGTCAAAAAAACAATTGATATATAAAGAAAAACATCTGAGATAAAAAAAAAATATTGCGTTGAGTAAAAATGATGGCACCCGAAATGAAATCAAAGTTTTGTTTTGGGAATTTCTCTTTGGTAAATATAAGCTTGACACTTCAAAGCCATACCATAAATTTTTTATTATTGTCTCTGCACTTCACGTTCTTGCTTAAACTACATAGTGACATGGTAAAGCTTTCAAGAACAAATTTCAAAGATTTGGATTTCAATTTGAAAAAATTGTACACCTATAAATTCCCACTCATCTATCCTTAATCTCGAGAATGGGGTTAGATAGATGAAAGCCGAGACCAGACATGGAAAGCTTAGGGGCAGGAGGTCCTGATTAACTATATATAAACTTCAAACGTAAACCAGAAATCATTATTTCAATTCAAAAATTTTCCTTTGAAAGATGTTAGATGGATGACTGGCATGGCTCATTGTTAAAGGAAAAGTATGATGTACAGGAGCAAGTCACTAATTTGAGATGGAAAGCATATATTTTAAATGAAATAAATTAAAAATTGCAGTCCGGCATTGTGACTATGTCACAATAAATAATTGCTCGTTAGCATTTGCAGTTTTTTTTAATAAAACTCATCTCTAACCTCAAAATTTTTGCCATTTTATAATAATTAATAATATGATATTTTATTTGAAAGTTTTTATAACAGATGGCATCACACAATTTTAAAGTTTGGCCAGCAAAGTTACGCAACTCATTGCTGACTTTTTTCCAACCATTGAATTCGAAATATGAATTATATTTATTTTTATTTTAAAGTAACAAAACTGATCAGTATAAAAGTGTTGCAGCACCATAAGAACTTTCCCTGGTTACACCAGTTCTATAGCATTTAACCCAGGCATGGCCAACATACGGCCCACGGGCCGGATCTGGCCTGTTTAATGAATTTGTGGCCCGCGATTAATCTTTCAATATTAGCTACTCAAGTCCGAACAGCTCGATGAATAATTCTGGTGCCTAAAAAAGAGAAATCAATAACTCACTGTGCGTTTAAAGTTAACGCTCCATTAAAAATCTCTAAATGCATTAAAACAGTGTAGAATGTTAATGCATGATAATGTGTAAACTGTATCTGTAATCTCTATGTACAATTTAGTCTCTACGGGGTGACACCACAATGAGATCTCGCATTACCTCAAAATCTTCCTAGGCCAGCCCTCTGGTTTGGCCCATGAAAAAAGTTTTCTTTCCAATTCGGCCCAGGGGCAAAAACTGTTGGCCACCCGATTTAACCCATAAATTCCCAGTGTCCCTATAGTTGACAAAGGTTTGCGATTTTTTTTAAACAAATTACCAAAATATTTATAGTAGTAGTATATTTATACTTTTAATTGGAAACATTGGCATAAAGTCATCTCAAAATTTTAATGTTTCAAATGGTTTTGCAATTTTATGACAGGTGTATTTTACAATATTTATATGTGAAAAAATATGACAAAAGGGATATTGCATTTTTTAAAATCTTATCTTATTCTTGAAATATTAAACTTAAATTATATTATACTAACAAATAAATTATATAACAAAAATCAGTTTAAAAATTAGTTGTCACTTGCAGGTGACACTGGGCAATATATCAACTCAGCTGCTCTTTAGTGAGTGTATGTATAATGGTTCATTTATATTTTTACTTGACCTTTGAATGAGATAATTATAAAGCATGGAAAGAACCCTGACAACATCAATTTGAAACTGAAGGCAATTTTATTCATTTTCCTAGCCAATTTCCATTACATTTGCAAGTTGAAATGCATGCCAGTTTCCAATATAAATTCTAAAGATCAAAAGGTAATCACTGAACCCATTGCCAAGAATAAAAAGGAATTCACAATAAAGAAATAGTTCAAACAATACATCTGTTTTTTCTTCTTGTGGGATAGGTGATTGAAAAAGGTTTTGGCAAATGCCAAAGATCTAAATATCACTGAATGGTTCGAGTTATATAATGAAGACATTGTAATATTGATGGACACTCAGACAACAAAGAAAATAATGTTTATAACAATGGTGCATATTGTTACAAATGCAGCCAAAAATGTTCCTAAAGTGCAATATAGGTTTGCATAAAAATTCCACAAGTGTCTTAAACCTTTTCTTATAATAATAAAAGTTTATTCAGAGAAAATTTGTATTTTCTTATCACTCTACATACTTCGTGTTATATATGATGCATGATACAATTATTAACCAGCAACACCCCATTTTCCAAAAAACTAAGGGTTATAAATTTTTTCTTGATTCTGTTTCATTGGAAAGTATATGCAAATTAGTTATGAAAGTTTTTTCACTATTCTTTATCAGTTTTGACATGGAAATTGATGGGTTAATGCATTATAAATCTACATTCAGATGTTTATTTTCAAAATTTTTTTTATATTTTAAGATCAGAAAATATTTTCATTTAATAAAAATTTCCTTTTCAATTCAAAAAACTAAATTTAATTTTTGAAAATTTTTATTACTTAATTTTTATTATTACATAATACATTTATTAATGCATAAAATAATTACAAAGTTTCAAATTTTCAATATTTTCTAGAAATATATTCAATTCATAAAATTTTTCAAACAAATATGACTTCTGAGGATGATCTTTTTTTTTTATGTACATATAACTTAAAAAGTTGAAGCCACAACAAATTTGATGTTTTATATACACTGAGTAAATACTATATATTATAGTACCAAAATAAATTGCAGCAATAATTAAATACTTTTCTCGTTTATGCTACAACACATTGTTTTATATTATATTTACATACAGATATTTATACATATATATATATATGTGATATGACTTTTTTAAAATAATCTCAACGAAACAGTATACAGTGTAGCTACATAAATTCAAAAATTTCTAATGCACCAGCTTAAATATACATAATTTACATTTATGATTTTCCAAAAATCATTTTTCATTAATGATATAATGCACAGTATTTCTTTTATAATAAATAATATTTAAATTGTCCAAAAATATTTTTTTTTGTAGTTCATAGTATAACCAAGTATTATTGACAATCTGCAGGCATATATTTAGTATAACTTTTATCAAGTACGTTTAGAAATATGTTGAATTATTAACTTACCGTTCTACTTATTATCACAGTTCACTCACCAATATTTTATGCAACATACAACAATGTAACTTTTAATAAAAGTATTCTTCAGCAAACATTTCAGTATGATTTCTTTTTTCTCTTTGATATTTATTATATACATATATATTTAGAAAATAAAAAATAAAAATAAGAGGAAATACGGAAGTTAGTTGTTTTTTTTCTGACTAGTTACACATTTAAAATGATTCTCTCTTTATCCTTGCTTACTAAGTTTTCTGAACAATACAATATTTGAAATTTATATTATTCCATATACATCTCATTTTTACTTAGTATTTATACAGACATGTACACATATAGTTATTGTAAAATTGAAACATTTATTTTTCTAACATTGATTCAATGAGGAACATTTACAAGTTAAAGAAACTTTTTTAATTAATAATTCAAACTGTAAAACATATATATACTTAAACAAATATTCTTCATTTTTTTAATGCAGCAGTTTGATGTCAACTTTTTAAAAAAATATGATTTCTCTGACAAAAAATTAATAATATTCTGATCTGATAGATTTCATATGTGCAAGTATTCATATTAATAAATATGTAGGAAATCAGCACTTTTATATCTGGGCACAAATAACTTTCAATTAATATATGTATATATATATATATATATATTTGCATAGTAAAAGAGTCGATATAATATTAACTGTTATGAAAACTTTTATGGAAGTTAATGGGTTTTTAAGACAAATAACAGATTCAATGATTGTATACGCGTTGAATAAAATTACGCATCTTATTAATGAGAAATTTCCATGAAAATGACATCACATAAAAATCACCGATACGTAAAATTCTAAAATTGGTTACAACAGCAGATTTTGAGTTTCTTAAATACAAATATCGCATTGTAGATTTCGGAACTAGAAAAGTTATAGACAAAACATTCTTGTCATCAGGTAACTAAAAAATAAATGCTGCCGATTTGTTTAGAAACCTCTCAAAACTTTGTTTAATTTTACTAGCTGAAATGAAATTGATGGATTCTTTCGATTTATTTCGTTGTAATAAAGTGCACAAGAAGATTAAAAATGTTTGTAACCATACAATAATATACCAAACTAATAATCCATCAAATTCAGTTCAGTATTGAAATATTCATAAAACAGAACAGTATTTAAAAATCTGTTTAGTTTTAACAAATTAAAATGGCAATGGTTGACTTTAAGTAGAAGTTGACTAGAAACAGATATCATCATTTCTGCAGATTATGGAATTCTTTGTTTTTTCAGTGTATTTCTACTGCTTTAGAAACAGGAATAAAATTCAAATGAAATTGTCCAGCTGAAAAAAAAAATTTAAATAGATCAGATTTTTCAAAATAAGCAATAATTTAATATCAAATTATGTCAAATTTTAAAAATAAATTTATAAAATTCTTAAAGGCTTCTAATTCTAAACTTACAACTGAAAATTTAAACTGCAAATCACTTATTCATGAATCATGTATCAAATAAATTTAGTAAGAAAATTACTTGATAGCAAATTTTTATTTTAGCTGTAAACTTTTCATTGTCTATATATTACAGATAAATTGTATGATTAATTGCATTGGACTTCAATCATTTCTAAGCCATATTCCAACCAACTATATTTCTTTATTTTAGCATTTGCATATTAAATTAAATAACTGGAATGTCTATATATGAATGATCAAGTATCTTCCCTGAATATACACATAAATTACTTTAGTTTTTTTAATATACAATTTTATTAAAAATCTAACTAAACCAAATATAAGTAATTTTTCATTTAATAAAGTAAACTTTCCTACATTAAGGAAAAAGTTCAAATAACAAATTTAAAATTAACAAAAGCACTTGACATTAGAAAAAATATTTTCTTCTAAGATTTTTCATAAAATTATATATTTAAAAAACTTTTGTAGAAAGTTTTTATAAAATAATTACCAACAGCCAAAGATGATTTTATCTTTATTTTTCTTAGTTATTTATAAATTTTATATAACATTTTTCATCTTCAAAATTCTACATTAACAGTAACAATAACATTGTTTTTAAAGTATGATTTCAAGAGAAATGGCCAATCAGCAGAATATTAATTCAAAGATTATAATAATTGTAATATCATATTATAATCTTTGTAAGTTGATCTCTTGATAAGTTGAACTTTCTTAATTTGAAATTCTCACTAAATCTAAATTTTATTGTTACTCTGATTAATTACCATAGATTCAATACATTCTGTGGTTCTATAAGTCATAGTATTGATAGTTTTCAGATCCTATTTTGCTAATTTAAAACCCAGATACTTTACTTCATGTTTAATTTTATGCACTTTCTTTTGCATTTTCAAAAGGATGGACAATATTATTACAAAGTTGAAGATTGATATGGTATAGAATTATACTTCTGCATGATAAAATTTAAAATTTTAATGATGTTTTATGAATAAAGTAACAATCTTATACCTGAGTTGCTACTGGCCAATCAAATTTTTGATTTGTCTTTATCTCCTTATTTGGAACTAAACATTCATACTGTGCAAATTTCACTGTAAAGTTTGAACTGCATGTTGATTATTTTCATTGCTGATAGTGACCAATTAATCAGTGTGTCTAGAATCACGGCAGTGACACTCCATACCAAGCAAAAAGTCACTGAATAACTATATATATATGTGTGCACACAAGAATTAGAGTTGCCAATTTTTCAAGGTTGATTTCTCTGCCTCAAGTGCCTAAATTCCAAATACTTGGTTCAAAATATAATTGTTTTCTTATGCAGTATGCAAAATTTCAGATTTTTCTTTAAAGTGATTGCTTAAAGATAAGCAATTGAAAAATACAAAACTATTCAAAAAATTTGTATTTTTTTTCTCCTTCATCCAGCACTGCAGACACTCCTACAGAAAAACTATTGGGTCTAGAAAGCTCAAATTTTAAACTTAAGTTTCTCTTGATATCAGTGATATTTCAAAACTTCAAGAGGTTTCCCATACAGTTATTTTACTTTTATCATTTAATTTTATGCTTTTGAGGATAACATTGCATTGAAATGAATGATTTTTATAATGATTTTACTAAAAGCATATTGAAATGATTTTAACAGCATATCAGTTGGACCATCACCGAGCCCTGACTGAACAGTATGTATGTTATCATCATAGGTTTTGATGTAATAACAATCATTAACCAAAAAATTGATATCCAAACAAAAACATCCGAGATGTACAAAAACTGCACAATTCGCATTCGGAAATGAAATTTAGAAAATAATAATACAAGTAAAAATCTTGTGGGTACTGCTTCAAAGTGCCTGGCTTAACCTGTATCAAAGTTCCTAAGAAAAAACAATTTGACTGTCATAATTTTTGTCTTAGCAAAACATTTTTACATTTCAGTTGACTATTTTCATCCTAAAGCAGATAGAAATGGCAAGCATCAAAAAACTAAAGATTCTGTCAATTTCTTTCAATCAATTCTTTATGACATCTTATTATTGGAGACATAATTTATGACATTATGTTATAAAGACTGTAGAGGAAAACAAAAACATCAGAAATTGGAAAGAATTTGACATTTCTTTGAGTATTCTTTCTATAGATTTGAAAAACAAGGAGAGGATTTTGGAAAGTTTCAATAAATAACAAAATCAGATATAACAGAAAATAAAGTGTAAATGTGATTAGCCTACCAGAGGCATGCTGAAGTGGTTTTTACAGTATAGAAATAAGAACATTTCTGTCAACAATCTTTTTGAAGAAATAGCTGAACAATTCAAACAATAGTTGAGAGTTATTGAATTTAAAGCAAGCATCTGGTAGCTGAATAAATTTAAGAACAAGCATGGACTAGATTTTAATAAAATTTGTGGTGAAAGTGCAGAAGTGCGAGAGAACTGTAAAAAGTGATTGAAAAGTTCAAAAACTTTTACAAAATATAGCGTGGATGATGCTTTCAATGCAGACAAAACAATTATTCAGAGATAATTCTTGTCAGAAGTAAAAATGCAAAGAACATGCAACTCTTCTTTTGGGAGTGAACATGTCAAGTAATAAATTTTAAACTATGATATATACAGCTTATTGTATGAATCATGTTGCATATTATTGACAATGAATCATAAGAGTTTGGAGTGAACCTGCTGGATAAAATTAGAATAATTAACAAAGCTTGGAATGAAATTCCATTCCTAGCTTTGCTAACTATTCTCATTTCATCTAACAGATTCACTCCAAACTCATATGATTCATTTTCAAAAGCTTGGAATGAAATTCCACAAAGCACCATTGCAAATTTCTTTACAAAAACAGGTTTCATCAACAATTTATAATGTTTCAAATAAATTAGAATCCATTAACTATATTGAAGAAAACTGGTCCAATCTCATTACAGCAATGAGTGAAGAAAAAGTGCCATTCAAAGATTTGCTGACATTGACAATGACTTAGCTGTCTGCTGACACTTATCTGATGACATCAAAAGCTGAAATAAAGAACCAAGCACAACAAACAAATAATGAAGATGAGAAAGAAATAAATCCAGTCAAAAACAAATATCCTGTTACCTCTACATTTAGGGAAGTCAGAAAAGCTATCAAGTTTTTAAAGGGCTTTCTAGAAAAAATTTCATTCATAAAACAAGAAATCATTGACAATAAAGATTTATTCATTGATAGTGTCAATGCTCTGTTATTTTATACATATATATATCCTGAACTCCCAATTATCTAAGCATGGTTTATCCATGCATAGATAATTTGGAGAATAATAGAGCATATTACTGTAAAATGACAAAATATCATAAGCAACATTCAGTTTTTCTTTCCTCCCTCAACTGTCAATTCTAATAGACTGAAGCAAGTCTCTTAGAATTGACAGTTGTACTGTACCCCTGGAATATTATTTTGCAGTAAGCAAAGTTGGTATTATAAACAGATGTAAAAAAAATCCTATTAGTCCTAAAATTAAAATACAGCAATTTAGAAAAAAAATGTAAGATTTAAATTTCTACATGATATTTTTGAAAATAGAAGAAATTTACATTTTATGTTTATTGACTATATCGACTGCTCAGAACAAGAGAGTTACAACTCAAAAATATAGATTTTTCAGGAGAGCCATTTGAAGTTTTCAATTCCAGCTGATAAATCAGGGAATTGTTTAAAATCAATGGAATTTGGTTTGAATGTTAATTATAGTCATTACATTGAGTTGGAATAATAATATTATTTAAATGTATTTTCTCTGTTATATTATTACATATTTTTTGAGTTGCAACAGTTTTGCATTCAAAATGTCATTATTGTTTTCTCAGTTTTTTACTTAGAACAGCTGTTTGCCATTACATAATAATATACATTTTATATAAAGTTACAGTATTTATTTTAACAGAACAGAAAAATGTAATGTTACATTCTGGTTTTATGAGACCCATGTTGTTCAAACATGACAAACAATAAAAACAAAAGTAAGAAATTTCACAAAAAATTAACACGGTCATTAAAAAAGTATCACTAATTGTGCTATGGTTTTATCAAGCAAATTAGAGATCAGTCTTTTTCAACACTACTGGAAACTTTCAGAGAATTATAAAATGATGCATGCATGCTTGGAATGACACCACTTTTACACAAGTCCAGCAAATCTTTCTTCTTTCCAGCATCTATCCCCTGGTGGTGAAGAATAAGCTGGGTTCAGCATGACTTTGGCAGATCTACCTCTCATTCTTTGTCGAATGTTTAACTTTTCAAAATCCTCTTGGGCATATGAGTGCTTGTAGAAGATGGTATAAGGATCTTGTTTCATGACCTTAATGATCTTAATATTGGGCCAATTCACTAAATTATTATTTTCATTTTTTGGAGAAATTGTTTCCCATTTGTTGTGATAAGTCTTTCAAATTGAAGATATCTGCTGTATCTAGTTCAGTCACATTATAAACGCTGCCTTTTTTCTTGGCTAATTTCAGTACTGGTACCCATTGAGCAGGTAGTGTTATTGTCCCACCTTTAACAACTCTTCGTTTTTCACGCTCAATGGTGGAATGCATTGAATCATTCTCATTCTGTGTGTGCCCTTGAATGAGAAATTTGTGAGTAATAGTGTTAATATGGTCTCTATTATTTACACAGTATAAAAGTAATGAAGCAATGAATTTATTCTTGTTCTGCCCTGCATAATTATCTGAAAACAAAACTACTTCATTAACTGTATTGGGCAATGAAGTAAAGAACTTATAGAGGCATGTTCCAATTTAATTTAAACCTCGTTTGGCCAAGCCTTCATGCCAAAAATAACAGTGGCCCTTACTGTTTGAAATATCATAAATTGTAAAGTTGTAACATGAGAGTTTCCTTTTGTAGTATAAGGCAAAGTATAAATTAGGCAAGGCAAGACATTTAATAATTATTTATATCATTCCGTGGTATAAACAATAAATTCCTATACAAATAAAAATAATTTATTGTTAATTTAAAATCATCGCTAGGGCGCCTCTAGTGGCCGTTTTTTGGCATACTGTTACACGGATCGACAGATGGACACACGTTCATTGGGTTATATAGATAGATAGATTTAGAATGCAAGAGTTGCAACTTTATATGAGACTTTCTTTCACCAAGAATGCAATTAAGTGAAAGCTGAAAACTGTTACAACTCAAAATGTAACCCTCTTGAATTCAATAACAGAGTGTATTAGCATATTGCAAAACTGTTATATGTACATCCCAGAGCCATAATAAGCCATTTAGAGCTATAACCTTTATACATAAGATAGAACTCGATACAAGCATTCCCATAAGTACAATAACTAAAACATCAAAAATTTTGAGTTGTAACCCTCTTGCTCTGAGCAGTCGATATATATATTTCATGTTATGAAACTTGGGACTAACACTTGCATTATAATGGAGTTGAGCTGTGTATATATTGTAGTTTAAAACCTCTAAACAGTTTTTTTTTTATAGTTTAGATGTCTGTTTTGGATTATCTGTTTTATTATTTTCTGTGCACACCCATCCACTAATTAGCATGGATAATTGGAAGTATTGGTGTATTTAAAAATTAATAAATATATTTGATGTATTTAAGTAATAAAAATGTGTAAATAACTGTAATGTAATAATGTATTTAAGTCTAACCATATTGTTTGTATTATCATATTTAGTCTCATTAAAATAATGATAGTTTCCATAACTCAAAATTTCACTAACACTTTTGCTGACAATTGATATGATTTTGTGTCATGTAGATAATGAATGGTTTTGGTAAATTGTGCACATGTTATTTTTCAGATGTCATTTATTGCTACCTGTAAGTGTAAGAAACATTTTAGAATATACTATTGCTTAGTTTCTTACTTTCCCAAGACCATTTTTATAATAATGTTTCTTCATCATTTTTGTCCTTGGGCAGATGCTGGTGACTCAATTTCACATCACACACAATTCCATAGATTGCTCAAAATAAAATTTTTTTTTATTCTTAATTTGTGTGTAACAGTGACAGTTTATGAAAAAACAAATTGACATATTCAGTGCAACCTTTTTTATGGCATTAACAAAAGTGTTAACTTGAAAAATTTTCTTTCCCCCTTCGACTTCAAGTTATCAAGAGTCTGCTGTATTAAATTTCTAAAAACATGAAATTACAATCTCAATGCATGTTTATATAAAAAAATGTTAATACTTTCAAATATCTCTTACTTATTTATTACAAATTAAGTCACTATATAATTTTATGTTATTAATTTTATTAATTTATATAATTTTCTTACCAGATTTGATGATATCATCCTGAGTTTCTTTACAATCACATCCTCTATGTCCAACTCCTCCACAATTATAGCAAGTTAGAGGTTTGATATGAGCATTGGTTGGAGGTAGAGTACCTTGAACATAAGTACAGTTGCCTGGAAAAGTAATAAAACCAGCAGGTGGTGATGACGATGGGTGGGGAGTAGGTGCAGGGGTTTGCATATGGTAACTAGTATATGTAAGGTCAGGTAGAATATTTTGAATAGGATACATAAAATTAGAAGCTTGAGATGGAGCTGGCACTGTAGGTGATATGAATCCATTATGTTGTGAGGCAGTATGTGGGTGAAGGAATGATATTGGAGGAGGAAATATTTGAGGTATGTAACCCATACAACCATATGTTATTGTATTGGTAACATTAGTATTAGGTACAAGAGAAGACATGGAAGGTGATGGGCACATAGAATTTACAGTGACATTATTAACACATGATGGTGGTGATGATGATGACGATGATGATGATGATAATGACGACGATGATGAAGTACAATTTAACTGTTGACTAGTATGCACTATTGGGGATATAAATGAAGTATACTGGGTTGTAACACCCTCAGGCACTTGTTGTGACCTTGTAGCTGCTGCTATTTCATGCATATGCACTCCATTTGGACTCATTTGATTACTGTTAACTGATGATGTATTTGAATTCACAGATGAAATAGATTTAATTTCATTTTCTGGTGAATTAACAATATGATTCATTGAAGTTGTAGCTGATCTATTGCTTGGTATATGAGACTGAATATCAGAATTTTTAAGAGGAATTGATATTTGCTGAAAAGAATCTTGATCTCCATTTAATGGCAAATAAGGGCAATGGAGAGGTAAAGTATTTGGTCGAGACAACTGATGATTAGAAGGCATATTTGTTGAAATAATATGAACATTTTTTTGTTCTTCAACAGGATTTGAAGTATTTTCTTCTTTTCCTTTTAATATTGAAGTTGTCTTTTTAGTTTTACCTGAAATATTTTTATTCTCCATTCTTTTCTGACAATTTTTATTTTTCTGTGTCTCTTTCTGATTATTATTAGTAAGCTGACAGTCATAAATTTTAGGAGTCATAAATGTGCCTGAAATAATTCAAATAAAAAATAATTAAACCAAAACTTAAAATTATTTACAAATGTAAAAATACATATATACACTTAATTCATATTATCATCTCAAAATATAATATCATATTAAAGTCAAATTATATCCTAGAAGCATTTAATTTACACAATGTAAAGAATAAAAAAATTAGCATCTACATAAGATCTGTCCAACATACAACCCAAAAAGCTGTATTCAATCCACTAGTCACTAGAAAAATCTCTTATTTACAGGGTTCCTACTCAAATTTTTGTTTTGAATTCCATGACTTTCCCTGACCAACTCTGTCCAAATTCCCTGACCCTCACATTTCTTACAGTATGGAATATCAACATAATAAAACAGCATTTTACTTACTGTACTTACTGTGAATGTTGAGTACATCTATCCCTCTTTTTGCACATTTGATACATTCCAAAGACTGTGCCAAAAAGTACAGTACTTTTTGGCACAGTCCTTAAAAAAATGTTTGATAGGATCCACAACTTTAATGTAATGAAAAAATAAGCAATTTACAAATGAAATATGAGCTTTTTTATTTTATAATCATTTATCATTATTAGTTGTATGTAAATCTAGTAAACACAAGGTAGCATGAAATCAACAAACAGTATTCTCTGATATACAAATACAGTAGACCCCCCCTATAATTACAGTCCCTATAATTATGATTGCTATAAAACTGCGAAAAAATTGCGACAGTATCCGTAAAAACCGGTAAAAAACTCCTATAATTACGTAAAATGTCATTGGGCAGCTGAACTACTTTCCCGCCGTCCGTAGCGCCACGCTACGAAGAGATTACTATCGTCTGTACAGTATTATATATAAATTATATATAAATTAGGTACTGTACATATAATTATATATTAATTATATATAAATTAGGTACTGTATATATAATTATATATTAACTTAATTTATTGTAACTTTATTATAATTAAATATATATTTTTCGCCGTCTAGCGTCACGCTACGGCGAGTTAGGCGACCTATCGTCTGTTTAGTACTGTAATTTTATACATTTCTTGTGAAAGAAACATTTCTTATTTAACGGCCATAAAAATTATTTATATNCCGTAAGTCTAATACAGTACTGTAATTTTATACATTTCTTGTGAAAGAAACATTTCTTATTCAACGGCGATAAAAATTATTTATATTAATGATGTCTCCGAAGTTCAATGAAGTTTTCGCAGAAAAATAAGTTATCAGAAATCGGTTGTGGTTTGGTGTGCTGCTTCGCGATGAAAACAAGCTTTAGCAATGGCGATGTCAAATGGTGCATACTCGATAAGTAATCTTACAATTTTTTGTTTATAGTGTAGTATACACGGATTATTTCCAAAAAATATATACGTATTTTGGAAATGTTGAGTTGGATTAGTCTAGAATCGATTAATTTTATGGAAGAAAACCTTTCAATCAGCCGTAGTCTGTAAACTTCACACATGTCTGGCTGTGATTGAAAGGACTCGTAAGAAATCAGATTCCTAAAGAATGGAACGTATCTATGATCTTATAGGGGGGTCGACTGTAGTACTGTACTGTGTTTAAAAAAAATCTTTCTTTTAAGCACAGTACATGAAAATCAATTTTCTTGACTTATGAACATGTAATTTTAAAACCAATCTTTCAAGAAAAAAATGGAACTTTTTTAAAAAAACAACATACTTTTAACAAAAAGTTAAATTTAAAAATGTTCAAATAAAGCATTTTTTCCTCGTGTAAAACATCTATTCGGTTACCTAGTTGATGTTCAAAATTATAACATATTATAGTATTACTACAGGTATGGTCAATATTGCTAGTTTTTAAGACCTAAATTTGCCAAAATCAGTGATACTTGTTACCCAATTTTATTTCTATTAAACTAATTATTAAACTATGTATCACAAAGCAGGAAATTAATGAGAGAGAGAGAGAGAGAGAGAGAGAGAGAAATGTGCTAGCAGTACAGTATTTTCAAGGAAAATCATAACAGATGTAAAATGCTTGTGTGGACCACAAGTAGGCGCGAGCATTTTATATCTTTTACTGTAAATGTCAGGTAACTGTTTAAAACATTACTAAACAATATAAAAAATTAAAAATGTGAAAAACAATTAAACTATAATTTTTACTGATCTATTTAGTTATTTTGTAGTGAACATTCTAATAAATTACCATTTCAACTTTTAAAAGTTTGCAAGGAAATTTTTAGTTAGTTATTTTTTTATTCTAATTAACAACTTCACCTTTTTATAATTGCTAAATTATTAAAATTAAAAATTAAACACTATTACATAAAAGTAGTTTATCCTGCTATTAATCCACAAAAGTAAATATATATAGCTTCAAAACAGTGGAAAAAAAGCCATTTATTTTTTTATCATTAATGAATTCTTTAGTCTGTTACAAAAGTATAAATTTATACCTTTAAATTTTATAAAGTTTTAATACACTGGAAAGAAATTGGGAATTATGTTTTGTTAGGCAATAAAAATTATTAAAGTAAAAAAATGATAAATATTTGTAATTTATTGGTATTATTTATCAATTTTCACATTTTGTTCTCATTTTTTTTTATATCAATTCATTAACACCTTACCTCAAATTGAGGGTGTGAATGATAATTGCATAGGGGTTCAGAAAGGGTTCAAATATTTTGGAAAAATGTAATCGATGTTACATTATCATAAATATTGCAGATTCTCTCAAATTCACGATAAAGCATTTTTAAAATTTAAAAATGCTTATTGATCTGGAAATATATTATGTTAAGGACTCTTTCATCCACAGAGTTTTGCAATGCTCTCCTCAGTGTTGCATTTTATAATAATTCTTTACATAAACAATTAATGTTAGTTTTAAAACTGACCTGCAACTATCAGTAAAAATAAATGTTTCTATTAACTGTCAAAACATTAAACCAAAATTTTTTTAAAATTAAACAATTTGATGTGAATTAAAGTTCTGATTTTGAGTGATTTTAAAATATATTATTACAATATAATAGAACAATAAATAAGATTTATTCCTTCCATAAAATTAAAATTAATTCATTATATGTCATTGTGAAAGGTTCAGCACTACGTGCCTCAGAAAAATTTTCAGTGTTTTCAGAAGATGCTTTTAATGAAATCAGACAAGGAAAGCAGTTAAGCACATAAGGAAACACACAAAAATTTTATAAAAGACAGATTTGTACATCTAATGATGTCCTCTAATACTAAAAATGTTTCAATAGAAAAACAGATTCTAGTATATTCGTAATAAAGATTGCAGCATTATTTCTTGCTGCCAGCAGATGGCTACACTTAGCCATCTGCTGGTAGCAAGAAATAATATCAATAATTATATTGGTCAGCCATATTCAGCAAATGAAATTAACAAAACAGCTAAGCAGACAAATTCCCTGACTTTCCATGACTTTATCCGAACACTAATGAAAATCCCTGACTTTCCAGGTGTGTAGGAACCCTGTATTTATTTATATTCATAGTTTTGTTGAAATGAGTTTAAATTATATTTCAAAACAACAAATACTTATCCTATTAATATTTGTCTGATAAAGATATCCCAAATATTTGTCAGATAAAGAATTATTTTAAGAAACCTTCAAAAAAAGTTCAAAAACTACACACGCTTTTCTTAATTGGTGACTATATACATTGAATATTTGCTTCCAATGAAGTATAAATGAACTTTGTCACTTTTATTTTCGTCCTTTCTTTTTTTACTTATGTATCTTTTTATAGACTTGTTCCACTGTATTTTACAGAAATATTTGCAAAAGTTAAAAATCTGACTAAGTAATGATGAAAGTAATTCGTAGTAGAGCAATATGTAACAAGACAATTTAAAATGATATATTTTAAGAGGCAATAATTATATTTCATAGAAACGATACAATTTTAAAAAAATCTTATTAATAAGCTTTTTTAAATGTTTTCAATGTACATGCATTATTATATTTTACAATGGACATGATATAAATTAATAATATTTGGATGAGAAAACACTGATTAATTAAATGGTAACAACACCACTTAACCACTTTTAGCCAGTTGCATGCTAAAACTGGTTAAGTGGTGTTGAGATGTTTTTGATGGTGGATTAATCTGTAGGCAGTAACATCACAGATTTGATCACTAAAATAAATTTTTATAGTCAATTGAAAGAAATTTTTGAATATATGCAATTTTTCCATAAAATATAATGGAACAGGTTCACAGTAAAGTATACTGATAAAATAAAATAAAAAAAGTTAAATTTCCTAAAGAAAAGTTGACAGAAAAGAGAAAAAAAATTGACAACACTATAAATTCAAATACAAAGGTCTCACATAGATACAACTGTGTCGTTTGGCCAAGCCTTCATGCCAAAAATAACAGTGGCCCTTACTGTTTGAAATATCATAAATTGTAAAGTTGTAACATGAGAGTTTCCTTTTGTAGTATAAGGCAAAGTATAAATTAGGCAAGGCAAGACATTTAATAATTATTTATATCATTCCGTGGTATAAACAATAAATTCCTATACAAATAAAAATAATTTATTGTTAATTTAAAATCATCGCTAGGGCGCCTCTAGTGGCCGTTTTTTGGCATACTGTTACACGGATCGACAGATGGACACACGTTCATTGGGTTATATAGATAGATAGATTTAGAATGCAAGAGTTGCAACTTTATATGAGACTTTCTTTCACCAAGAATGCAATTAAGTGAAAGCTGAAAACTGTTACAACTCAAAATATAACTTATTCAGAAGTTTTATGATTTTACTTTTTTATATTTTGGCCCATAAAATCAAACTTAATCTTGAATCTGGCCCACTATTTGGATTGAACATCCCTAATCCAGATGCTTAATATAGCTACCAAGAGATAATATTACATAATAATCACTTCTATTGCCTTCACTTATACTTTACAGTATGATACCATACAATTAATCTATATATATAAAATTGCTTGTCCTGAATGACTGATTCATCATCGCCCAGAGCAAACCGCTGAACCTAGAGAGGTGAAATTTGGTACACAGTTACATCATGAAAATGCACACTAAGAAGGGATTTTTTGAAATTCTCCCGTGAGGAGAGCGAGAGCATTAAGGTTTAACTGGAAAAATGGCTTCTACTGTACTATTTTAGATGTGGTTTTTTTGTTTTTAACTGCGTATTAGTAGAGTATGCCAAGGGAATGCACACTTAGAAGGAATTTTTCGAAATTCCTCAGTGGGGGGAGCATTAAGGCTTAACCGGAAGAACAGCTTCTACTGTACTATTTTACATGCAATTTTTTGTTACGTTTAGTCTTCATTAAGTACTTAAAGTGTATTAAATTAATAACATTTCAGTCATTGTTATAAATATTTTTATATATTTCAATTTTTTAACCAAATGTTTGAACCTTTTTAAATTCGAATTTGTTATTGCGTATTGGTTCGATTATAGAATGATTGTAAACGCTCCAGAAAATTCATCAAATTGAAAATAGTTTTTTTGATTCTCAGCAATTCTCATCATTCTCGTCAGTAGATGTTATATAACAATTACTATGGTTGTTGAAATACAGAATATAAATGGGGTTTGCTTGCAAAACCTCCGCAGGCAAAGTCGCAGGTAACAGCTAGTATGATATAATTTAGTAGCAGAGCAAGTATACTAGTGTATGGTCTGTAATTTTTTAAATATCTTCCAGATTACATGTAATTTTGGATTAATAAATCGGGATTGAAATGTAACCTCTACATAAAATATAAGTTTCCTATATAGTAATAAAAACAACAATTATACAAAAACAATACAGTCGACCCCCCTATAACACTGTTGATTATTCCGTTTTATATGAATTCCATGTTGTACGAGTCACTTAGATTTTACAAATACGTGTGTTGGGCTGTGAACGGCTCATGTATTTGTAAAATCTAAGTGACTCGTACAACACGGAATTCATATAAAATGGAATATTCAACAGTGTTATAGGGGGGTCGACTGTGTTTCAAATTTTCAGACTTATGTATCTGAAATAATAAAAAAAATAATGATCTAATACATGCCCTTATAATTTATCTACAGTGAAAAAATCTTCTTATACAAGTCTTCATGACATTTCATTGCAATAAAAAATTTCCTTCTAAAATTAATTACTATAAAAAATATTAATTAACAAGGAACAAGACCAATTAAAAATCACACTTTTTAACAAAGTTTTCATCAATTAAAAAAATTAAGAGAGTAATTTCTAATATTTTTGGAATTAGATTACATAAAAATTAAATTATAAAACTGAATCATAACAAGTATTGTAATTTCACAATTAATAGTTTGGAAAAATCAGAAAACCCCCAATAAATCAACTTATTTCTAAAAAAATTAAATAAAAATACAATAAACTATATTTCATATCATACTGAAAGAGTCTTGGTTTTCCCACAGATTACTCTGCTGCCAGCCTCCATAGGTAAATTTTAGAAACAAATTTGCCAAACCTAAAAACATTTGGTTCAATTTTTGTTGTTTTTGAAAAGTCCTAGTTTATGCATTTAAAGTTTAAAAATTAATTAAGTTTAAATTAAACATTTGATTAATGTTTTTGTTAAATTAGGCAATTTTTGGATAGTACAATTGTAATAATTTGTATTGTAACATGTAAACTGATTGTGTAATTAGTCAGCATAGTAAATGCAAAACACAAGTGTATACTGCAGATTACCAATGACTATATCAGTATGTATGTTAATAATCAGAAATAAATAATAAAATATTAAGTATCAAAATTAAATATGGAAAATGAATAAAATGAAAGCCTACTAAGAATTTTTGAAAATTCTTATTTTACCTCTTTCATATAAATTGTCATCAGAACTTGAATAATGGATATGGCAGGAATTTGGAGGACTAGGTGGTGGACTAGAATATTCTGAACTTGAAGAACTCTCACTATTAATTTGTGGGTAATTATCTGTTGCCACAGATGAATGTTGATGTAAAAGTACCTTATTACTGTTACTATTACATATCTTGTTAGGTAAATGTTTTGTTAATCCATTCGATGGAATGCTACACCTGAAAAAAAAACTATTATTATTATTATGCTTGTTTATATCCTATTTCCAATATGCACCTAAATCTTGATGTTATAATAGATTAGTTTCATGTATCAAAATCATATTAATTGAGAATAACATTTATATTGGAAATAGGGGATAATCTCCAAAATTCCATATTTCCATATGAATAAATGAGCCATTGTTTTTGAAAGTGGTATAAGTCCATTCATTCATACATTGAGATATTTAAGGGTTTGTGTTTGAATCAACTAAAAAATATTGGCAAACATTAATAAATTTGTGTAATGTTTTTAAAACTATAAACTTGTTAAATTTTATTATGTAATAATAATTAATTAAATTGTTAAAGAAAATAAACAATTTTTTTAGCTTCAAATGAACTTATACCATTTTCAATAATATTTTATGAAAAATTTGAACAATAGCAATTTTAAATTTATATTTTAATTAAAGTTGGCTTTTCTAAAACGTATTTTTTTAATGTAGAAAATAATAATTACAATGAAAACATGCAAGTAAAAAATAATTGACTTTATTAAGAAATATTTTCAGTTATATTATATAAGAATTTACAAATAAACGACTATGAAAGTAAATTACGGGGATGATACAAAAAGTAAGGTAACAAGAGCTCTCATGGGTGTCATATTCCTCCTCTTGTTCAAATTTCCCATTAGGGCAGCAGCAGAAGACCACAGCTTTATCGCACAGGTGCTAGATGGTGCAAATGTTGCGTCAGATTCTCGCAATGTCATTTTGAAAATGGCTGCACTCACAGAAATGTGGTCACACCTGTTTTGTGACATGACCTGTTTTGTGACATTTGGTCTGAAGGGCAACTCAGACCAAATCAAACTACTAGTAGAAATTCATCGTTGACTTGTTGAAATGTATAGTGGTAATGTCATGTCATAAAATAGGTGTGGATTTGGTGCACCGAGTTTGATAAAGGCAGGACAGATGTGCAAACTGAATTGCTATGATGCTTCAAGTGGGAGATACTAGAACATCCTCCTTATAGCCCCAACCTGGATCTCTCTGATTTCCATCTCTTCAGACCTTTGAAGAAGCATCTGGGTGGTAGGCAATTCCAAATTGATATGGAAGGTCAGCAAGCTATCATGGCATGGTTGAAGGGACTTAATGCAGATTTCTTCTCTGCTGGCATCGATGCCTTGTATATCGTTGGAATAAATGTTTGGACAAGCATGGTGACTATGTTAAAAATAATATGTACCAGTGCCATAATAATCTGTATCACTATATTTGCCTGCAAAATAAAATTTGAACAGGAGAGCTTGTGTTACCTTACTTTTTGAATCACCCTTGTACTTCGTTAAGATAACTAATAACAAGAAATGTATTCATATTTCTCATTTACACTTAGTATTAGCTATTATCCACTATAAAGACTAAGGAAAGTTGTTTCAATTATTGATTATTACAAAGGAACTTATTCCACTTTCAAAAAACATTCTTGCCATAACATTTTATAGTGTTGATTCATTTATGAAAATATTATATACCATTGACTTTATTATTATAAATATAAAAGGAAGACATATATGTTTCATTGAAACAATCATTAACTCATTTTTTTCCAAATGTGGACTTATACAACTTTTTAAAAAAAAGGGTTAAATGTTAGTCTTCATTTACATGACTGAGTTACACAAAAACTCACAGAATCAAGTTGCCATATAAAGTTAGGATTAAGCATAGAATTCCAGTAAATATAATTTTTACATTTTCAACTCTTTTTGTTGAATGGTAATGACCAAATATTATTCAAAACACTATAATTTCACTTTAAATAATACATTTCTTTATTACTATTTATATAGCATATACAGTGTTTCATGTAAGGTATTATAAGTCAATTACATAAAAAATATGCTTTTAATAAAAAAATTGCTAAGAACAAATGTTTAATTTGAGTGTCTTTTTAATGCTATAAAAATAAAGTAACACTCATCCTCCCTTCTGAGTGAGATGGGATGCAACTTTAAAATTTCAAATGAAACCCCTCACTTTTTTAAATTTTTTGACTCAGGATACCTTGAAATATTGATTAATGCAAAAACTTTGGGGTTTTCTGTATGTACGAATGTTAGTGTATGTGTGGGGATACAGTTACCTTCTTTGAAGCTTAACTTATGTGCCTTTTGTTGAAAATTTTTGAAATTTTGCAGGGAGGTTTGTGTATTAGGAGGATTGATGCTATTAAATTTTAGTGGTAAAGGTCAACAGGGTGTGGAGATAGAGGGTTGTGTGTCATATCTTCAGTAAGGTTAGACTAAATGACAATTTTACTGGTTTTTAGCATTTATAATTTTTTATAAAAATCATCCTTACCTTCAAAATTAAGCTTTTTCCCATTTTATAACTGAAAATATATAAAGGTTTTTAAAATAAAATATCATAAGAGATTGTGCCATGTATAGTTTTAAATGTTGACAGGAAAGTTAAGCAACTTGTTGCTAGATATTTTATGGTATTAAAAGGGGTCCGCAGAAATATTAAACTTTTATTCTTATTAATTTTTTTATTAGTAACATTTTCCAAGTTATTGACTTATAACATATTCATATAATTTTTTAAAAATTATATGAAGTGTTTCATATAATATAATTAATCTGAGAATATAATTTACAGACCTTTCTAAATTACATTGTCAAAATAAATATTAGAAATAATAAACTGTATAAAAGCATGTATGCATTTATAGAATCTAATTTGCATTCCATTACATCTTTAATAGGTCTTTTATGATTAAAGTGACAATGTAGATACAGGATTTTTTTTTATAGTATCTTCTTGAGTTATAGAAGCTCCCTTCTTACTTTAAACTTGTCTCAACATATGTTATAAGCATATAAGTTATACACAGGTAAAATTATTATTCATTACTGTGTATTTTTGCCAATTGGATGCATCTTATAGTGTAAAAGTTACAAAAAAGTTTTGAATTATTGTTCTCATTGTAGCTAGATAGTAAAAATATAGCAGGACATTTTTTAAAACAGCAAAATAGTCTACCAATAAACATCAAAGTTGTTAATCTTCAGTGTTCCTGTCTTTAACATTATTATTTTTTAAAGAGTCAGCTATTGTATTTTTACAAATTTTAAAAATAATTACACATCTTTGATTTTGTAAAAAATATTTAATTCTAAATATATTATCATTACTTAACTACAGAATTTCTAAACTGAATTTTATTGAAAATATAAAAATTAGAAGTATATATCATATTAAACACACTATTTCTGAATTTAATGAAACCTATAAATATAATAAAGTTTTTCTAAATTTACTTACTTGAAATCAAACAATTTTCTTAGAACTTCAACAGAATGATGATTCAAGCCTAATCTTGTTAAATCATCATCATCATCTCTATTTTCTAGATTCTTAAAAAAAAATATTTTGATAAATGAATAAAATCATGAAAAAATATTTAATAAGTAAAACAACATTAATATGAATAAATCATTAAATTATATTAAAGTATCTTGCTTTCAAGAAAACAAGATGTAAATTTTTTAAATATATAAATTAAATGAAAATTTGCTTAGAATTCCTCTATTCAAAAAACTGATTTAATTAACTTAATCATTTAATTATTAAATTATATTGTGTAGAAAAGTATTTCTCTATCTTTTATTAGAAAATATCACTTGATTCATACTAATACTTAAAAAATAATTTGAATTTATTTAATTTTTTTTAGTAATAGAAATGCTTTGGAGTTTTGAATTTATTAAAACTCCAAAGCATTTTTCTAATTTTTTTCATAATTCATTAAATAATGAAATATAGCATTAATAAAGTTTAAATTCTTTTTACATTTACAATATAAAAATTTGAATTATACTCCAGTGTTCTATGAACTAGTTCTGTAAATAGGAATCAGTTTAATAATGGCTTTTTAAAGACATAAAAAGAATATTGGAGTGACTGTATCTGTAGTCGACACTGTACCAGTTACTGTGCTTTTATTACTATGCTTAACGTGTTGAAGCACCCTCTATTAATCTGTACCACTGAGGGTCAATTAACATACCATCTGAAATATTAACTAAATTTTCTTTGGGATGTTTTCTTATTTCTACATGTTCCTTGAATTTTCTTTTTATAAGCATCTTTTGCTAAATGCAAAATTTTTATATTACTTCTATTAATTTGACATTTTTTTATTTTTTGTGTGAGTGTACCAAAGAAAATTTAGTTAATATTTCAGATGGTATGTTAATTGACCCTCAATGGTACAGATTAATAGAGGGCACTTCAACACGTTAAGCATAGTAATAAAAGCACAGTCCAAGATCCATTGTACAATTTGTTCGGATAAATTAGAATTACTGGATAACATCTTTAGTTGGTATGTCTTTATATGTCATTGTTGTTCAAGAATTTAACTGTATAGTAATTAATTTTTAACAATTTTAAATTACAGTATGTTATATATTATATTATATTAACACTTATACAGTCTTCACTTGGGAGAACTGAAATGCACCCACTTTAAGTGTATTGAATAATGGAAAAATAATATGTAAGTTTAAGAAATTTTTAGATAGAATTGTATATTTTTATGTAATTAAGTGTGTTAAGCCATTGTAATTTATTTTATAAAAATTTTTTATGTAAAATAGTAGACTGTTGTGTATATTCATGGAAGATACAATTGTAGAAAAATGAAAATTTAATTTATGTCTTTATATGATATGTAAGTGATTTGTCATGTAAAAAATATTTTTTTGTGATATCTGAGTAATGTCATGGCCCTAATTATATTATCATTTTTTTTTTGTACAGCACTGAAGAGGGTTGGGAACTTAAACCAATCCGAAATGCATTTGTAGTCCAATTTACAAAATAAAGCTGTTTCTAACCAGAAAGCTTTACACACATTCCTTAAAATTATCTGATCTTATATTTACTAGTGAGATTCCTAAATTTGTTTTTTTAAAACAGTCAAAAACAGGTTTCACCAGCTCAGAAAGGATGTGTGTAAAACTTATTTAATTGGGTGGAAAATACATGTGTATTTTCTGACACATACATGTGTATGCTTTCTGAGTTGGATATTGTACTCGTATCAATTAAATAAAGATGGAAAACCACCAAGTGTTAAAATAGTATCACAACTTGTGTTTGTGAATAATAGAAATTAAGAAAACACGGTTTCAGAAGATTGATAAAATTCTTTATACGTTGAGAAATAATTTAATAAGTTTTGTAAATTACTACATTCAATCCAGTCAGTTATATCCGATGGTTTTTTGTCTATAAAATTTAATCTATTAATTTTTTTGGTAATAAAATTGACTTGCCATTGATCTTTCACTGATAATTGATGCTTTTTAACATAATCTATAGCCCAAGATTGCTCTTGAAAAATTAATTTTGTGATCAGTGCTACCCAAACCACTACTACTACTACTATTTACACCACAGACTTCTACGCACATATTTTTTTCTGCGAGTTTTAATACAATTTTTTTCCAATAAACATCCAAGAACAGCCAGTACGTCATCATCAGATGCTGACTTACTGAGAGATTTTCCTTCTTGTGTGTGGGCGATAGGAAATTCTGAATTTCCTCAAAGGATTTCCTTAATGTGTGTGGCCCCCTTAAGTTCCATAATCATTTTGACTTAGACCCTGTTTTTACTCCTGGTTAAATAATTTCTTCTTAGGTGCAGGACTTATCCCATACCTACAAAATTAAATTAGGCAATTATAAATTTTCCAATTTTGTTCCAACCTGTAGTATTCAACAAGGTTCAATTTTAAGTGGATTTTGTTTTTTTCAATTTATATTAACAATATTTTAGGTCAACTTAAATGAATGACAATTACTTGTGCCAATGATATCAAATTTGTTAATTACAATACTGATACACTTCAGTCTGATCTGCAACTTCTAACAACCCTTCTTGCTAAAGCCAATTTAAAAATTAATCCACAAAAAACCATCATCATAAGCTACTCTTTATTATGCAATATTCCTCAACCTACATTCTCTATTAACACACATATCAAATACAGTAGAGCGTCATTTATCCGAAAGAATTCCAGTCGGCAAATTTAAATTTTCGCTAGTGCTGTGGCACTGCAATCTTTGACTATATCTTGGGCTACTCCAATATTTTTTTGGTTGGTGTTTGTGTTTTAGCTGGCAGCACTGGCACTTTTGTGTGGTGTTTTTCTGAGGATTGTGTGTGGTGCTAAATCGAACGTTTTTGATACTAGATCAACTTCTAAAGTATATTTTTTGGTTTTTATATTTTTCAATATATTTATTTTGTTTGTGCAAAATAAAGAAATAATTTTTAACAATACAATAGCCATGATTATTATTTTAAAAAGTTTATGTTAAACTTAACATCAACGAAAATTCAACGCGAAGCAACACGCAATGGAGAAAAATTTCAACAAGGGGTAGGTTAATATATTTTTTCGTACATAATCGGTTATCTGAAAAATAAGTTATCCGAACAACCCCAGTCCCCAATTGATTCGGATAAACGACGCTCTACTGTACATTTCTTCAGTCAATGACCTTGGTATAATCGGGATAACAGACTCGTGTTTAAAAATCACATAGATAAAANACACAGTAATGGCGACAGGCCTTCCTTTTTAGGCTACATGCCGCCAAAAGGTAAAAAAAGTCCTTTAAAAAACACAAACATCCAATTAAAAGTAAAGGAATCGGTGATACAGACGTCTTACTTCTTATCCATGTGGCCAATGGGTGGTTCTGCTTTATATCTACTAAAAAAGCGCTGGAATATGTAGATTGTCTTTGATATATTTTAATAATAATCCAGCCATCGGACGGAAAAATTCAACAAAAAGAAATTTTAATGTACCGTCGCCAGGGGGCAGCTTCAAAATCTACATATTCCAGCGCTTTTTTAGTAGATATAAAGCAGAAACACCCATTGGCCAGATGGATAAGAAGTAAGACGTCTGTGTCACCGATTCCTTTACTTTTTAATTGGATGTTTGTGTTTTTAAAGGACTTTTTTTACCTTTTGGCGGCATGTAGCCTACAAAGAAAGGCCTGTGGCCATTATTGTGTATGTCTTAAACGCAAAATAAACGGTGCTCCTTATTGGACAGACTTGTCTTTGATATATTTTAATAATAATCCAGCCATCAGACGGAAAAATCCAACAAAACAAAATTTTAAATGTACCGTCGCCAGGGGGCAGCTTCAAAATCTACATATTCCAGCGCTTTTTTAGTAGATATAAAGCAGAAACACCCATTGGCCAGATGGATAAGAAGTAAGACATCTGTGTCACCGATTCCTTTACTTTTTAATTGGATGTTTGTGTTTTTAAAGGACTTTTTTTTTTTACCTTTTGGCGGCATGTAGCCTACAAAGAAAGGCCTGTCGCCATTATTGTGTATGTCTTAAACGCAAAATAAATGGTGCTCCTTATTGGACAGACTTGTCTTTGATATATTTTAACTAAAAGACTGGTTAAAATCAACTTTTGTAACAATCCCTAAAACAAGTCATCCTAAAAGTTGTAGCGATTACAGACTCATTAGTCTTATGTGCCATGTTCTGAAGATATTTCTACATATTATACATGCCAGGATATATAAAAAATGTGAAATTGATCTCAAGGAAACTCAATTTGGATTCAGAAATGCTTTTGGAATAAGAGAAGCAATGTTTAGGATCAACGTCCTTCTCCAGAGATGTCGTGAACAACAAAAAGACATATTTGCTTGTTTCATAGACTATGAAAAGGCTTTCGATAGTGTGAAACACTCCAAATTAATAGAGATCCTACACCAAGTTCAATTAGATGGCAAGGACATCAGAATAATTCAAAATTTATACTGGGGTCAAACAGCAGAAGTCAAATTAGGAACAGTGAAAATAGCAGAAATTGAAATACAGAGAGGAGTCCGGCAGGACTGCATTCTTTTGCCCCTATTGTTTAATCTGTACTCAGACAAAATCTTCAAAAATGCCTTAGAAAACTCAAATTATGGGATTAAAATCAACGGCGTAATTCTTAACATCATTAGATATGCTGATGATACACTAATTATATGCGACAGCCTAGAAGGCGTACAGGTACTACTAAACAAAATTAACTCAGCAGGAATTGATGCCGGTTTCAAAATAAATGCAAACAAAACTAAATTTATGATTTTTAGTCAGACCCCACACAGAGAGGCACAACTTAACAAAACAACAAAAAAATTAAATGGGTCAAACAGTTTAAAAACTTGGGAAGCATAATTACAGAAAATCTAGATTCACGGAAAGAAATTAAATGCAGGATAGCAGCAGCTAGAACATCCTTCCAAAAAATGAAAACCCTGCTTTGCAACGACAATTTAACTTTGAAATTACAGCAACGAATGGCCGAATGTTATATTTGGTCAGTTCTCCTCTATGGTGTGGAAAGCTGGACATTAAAAAGGAATACAGAAAGAAGGCTGGAGGCATTTGAGATGTGGATTCACAGAAGGATGCTGAGAGTCCCATGGACGGATCGAGTGACCAACAACAAAATTCTAAGCAGAGCAAGAACAAGCAGAAAATTGCTGTCAACAATCAAATGCAGAAAGATTGCATACTTGGGACATATCACTAGAGGAGAAAAATACAAAATCCCACAACTAATCCTCAATGGAAAGATTGAGGGAAAGCGTAAACGAGGCTGAAGACATTTATCATGGATGGACAATATTAAAAAATGGACAGGCATACAAAACAATGGGGAGGTAATGAGAATGGCCGAAGATAGGAACTCCCTCTCCTTGGTGATCGCCGACATCCGGGGGACTGGGCATGGCACGTAAAGAAGAAAGATCTCTCAGCATTCTTATTTTTATCATTTTACAAAGTATCTTTAATTTTGATTGTTTTTTACGTGTTATTTTCTCTCAATTTAAAAATACTTGTAAACAAAATTTATACTATGCTTAGCTTTTCTTTTTCATGTTTTGTTATTTTTTTTTACTTGTTGTTTTTTGTTCCAGGCTTGTTTGTTATCTGGGGGGGGCATAAAACTGACTTTTCCTGTGTATCAATAATAAATAAATAAAACTACTTCTGTAAGAAATTCAAAAGTCCAGAAAAAATATTCAAATTGCCCACAAATTCAAATTAAAAATATTTGAATTATCCAAGCTCTATTGTAATATAATTTCAAGCAGATTTATTTTAAATTCAATATTTTAAGAATTATTTGATTAATTTACCTCATCTAGTAGTTCACTATGTAGATCACCATTACACTGCTGAAATTCTGATTTATATTGTTCCTTCTGATGAATTTTGATATTTAGATTTCCAGATTTTCCTGTTACTCTTGGAGTTTTAGGAGATTCTGAATGAGATTCAGTTTCTGATGCTGGAGGTGATTCATATAATGACGATGATGATGATGACACAGATTTATTTTTTGGAATATCATGTTTAGATCTGAAAATATGTAATAAAAAATTTAAATTATGTATTTTAAAGCTTGTTTAGTAAATTTAAAATAAAAATTGAAAATATAGTAAATTTTCTATTAATTGTAATTTTAATTTTCTTCACAAAAATTACACAGTGAAAATTACAATCCTTGACTTATCTTATGTCAAAAATTTATACAAGTAGTTCATTCTATTCTTGCAAATTATTCATCTCTGTTTAGAGATGTATCTACATGGGGCAATGTTCACCATCCCTCACATGCTGCTAGCCACAACTGCATACAGTGTAAAAAAAAAAAAAGGATGTCATAAGCAGTTGACTTCTAGGTGAAACAGAAAAACAAGCATATAAGACTCAAATACTAAGCTACAAGAACATTAAATTTTATTTTTTTTACCAGTGAGGTAAAAAAAATAAAATTTAATGCTTGTTTCTGCTCAGTCTTTTTTCATTGAGTATCACTAGCATATGGCTGCCATATCAGTATTGCAGCTCCATGCAATACTGATATGGAAGCTTTAGTTATTGTGGGCTAGTGATGTGGCAACCTACCTGCGTACCTATGTTAAGTCTATGCAAGTCATTAGCCATACAAGTGACTCAAACTCAGAAATTTCTGGCTTCATTCCCTCTATTACATTAATATCATGATTCATTGAAGTTATATTATTATTATTGTTTATTTTAAAGTTTTTATTTATTGAATTCACTTTAAACTTTAATACAGTAAAAATATGCTTGTAATTAAATCTTATTTTATTAAAATTTTTGGGCTGCAATTTGGAAAAATTGTAGACCACTGTTTGTCTGTCCATCTTTCCTTACTCTCAACAATGGAGTTAGTTAGATGAAAGAGACCAGATATGGAAAGATTAGGGCAGTAGGCCTCGATTAACTGTATATGAACTTCCAGTGCAAACCAGAAGTCATGTTATTTCAATTCAAAAATTTTCCCCTGAAAGGAGATAAATGACTAGCAAAACTCTATTGTTAATGGAAAAGTATGATGTACAGGAGCAAGCCACTACTAATTTGAGGTGAAGAACATATACAGTGGGTGATCGGTTAATGAACAGATCGGATAGCGAACAAATCGGATAATGAACACTTTCATGAAAGATTTTTATGATCGGATAACGAACACATGTTCGGATAACGAATGCTTTACTGAACAAACATAAAAATAAGCAACGGAAAATAATGAATATTGATTGATTTTCCCTTGTCTTCAGGTAACAATTCAAAACCTTTCAGAGCGTCAACCTCGACGCTCAACCCGATACTGATCAGATAGTATAATATTCCTCCGAATTTTGAAACTTTCTCTTGTAATTCCAGCTTTTTGTTTACCTTTCTGACAAATAATTTTTTATAGCATTCGCAAGACTGTCGTACAGGCACTCGTTGAGTTTTGCGTTCAGGTTTATTTACGAAAGATGAAAGTTTAACTGTCCCATCGGATATTCGTTAACGTTTTAATACCAAATTTTGAATTTCATCCGGGCCTTGCCCGGATGAAATTCAAACCTATTGCAAATCAACTAGCCCACAAAAAATTATTTTTTGTGGGCTAGTTGATTTCTGTTCTCTGAATTTTTGTAAGTGTTTTTCTGAAATTTTTATTTAAAAAAGAAACTGATAATATTATGGAGCCTAAAAAGAGGAGTGTCATTGGACAGATTCTTTAACCCCACAAACGGAAAAAACATGACTAATAAAAATGCAAGGCTGCATATATATGTATTTTTACTATTACATATAAATAAACGTAGTAAAAAGCATATATTTTTTAATTTTTGGAGTCTCTGGAACGAATTAATCAAATTCCCATAAAAACCTATGGTAAATCGATAATCGATTAATGAACAATCCGGATAACGAACAAAGTCTTGAAACGGATTATGTTTGTTAACCGATCACCCACTGTATTTTAAATTAAATAAATTAAAAATATGATTAAAAATAGCAGCCCAGCATTGTGACAATGTCACAATAAATAATTGCTTGTTACAATTAAATTTATTCTTATTTATTCATAATTTTAATATTTTGAAGCTAATATATGTTATAAATTAAAGATAATTAATGTTAATATTAAAACATATTAGTAACCATTTTAAAACATACTTTTATTTAGGATTTAAATAAGCAATCCTTTAAAATAATCAATTATTTTTCAATTGTTTTTATTATTATACTGTATCTCCAATACCCAAAGTATTAATATACTCAATGAAATAAACATCCCTATTTGTAACAAAATAATCATTTCATAAAAATCTACTTTTAAATCTACAATTAAAACTTACATCTCATCACTTAATTTCATTAATTTGTTTTATCCATAAAAACAAAATAATATTTTACTTACTTCATTTTTTTTTTACTTTGAAAAAATTTAAAACAAATTGCACATGGAAGAGTTTTTGTAAAAGCTTACCTTAAGCTTTTTTATATTAAAAATTTTTCATTTTACTTTAATCATTTGGTTTAATCAACCTTGCTTTTGGCTTTTAGAGGAAAACCTTAAATTCTAAGTGTGCAAGAGAGGAAAAAAATTATAAGCCATGTACATCATCTTGGATATATCACAGTAGTCATAAAAATAATATAAAAATTTCTTTATTTTATCAATAAATTAATATTTAAATAAACTTTTGTATACAAAAATCTCACACTTCTTTATTTCATTATCTTCAGAATATAGGAGTAAATCTATCTACATACAATTTGAGATTAAATAAGTTTCTTGCAAAAAAATATGTTTCTAAAAATTCTTTTATGTAATGAATATTCTAAATGCGTATAAATTATCGCTTTTAAAGTTAAAATTTTTAAATAATATTAATTGTCAGAATTAAAGTTATGAAACAATTTATTCAAAATTTTTGAATATTCTTCATAAAATAATATTTAATAACCTTTTTTAAGTTTATAAATTATATAAAATTTCTTAAATTCAAGAAATTACCAAATTAGTATAATTACTTTTTTCCATAATTTTAAGTTTTTAAATATTTAAGATCACTAAAATATACCCTCTCTTACCTGAGATCTTTAGGAATAATTTTGTTTGAAGATATCAATTCATCTTTTGTTGTATTTTGTGAAGTTTTGGTTTTTAATGGGGCAATAGATGAATCATTCAAATTGGAATTATATATTGTGAAAGAATGGAATTTATTATGTTCAGGAAGAATGCAACTATTAAATTGGAATGTTTCCTTTGATGGTTGAAAAAATTTTACTACATAATGACTGTTCAAAAGATGAAGAGGAAGATGAATGATCAATTGCCTGTAATTAAAAATAAATTTTTTAATTAATAAATAAATATGTATTTAAATATTAAAATAAATAATTATTTAGTAATTACATTACTTTTAATCTACATAATTGTATTTTAATTTATTAATAAAAAAAATTAAGCAAATATTATATTAAGATTGATTTGTTAGATTAAAAAAGCATTTTTTTATAATAAATTTTTTCAAATAACATCTAAAATTTATTATTTTAAATTGTTTAAAATTATAATTACTAACAACTAACAAACTTTTTTCAAAATATGAATAATAGTTAAAAATACAAAAATTAAAATTATATTTGTTTTATAAATTCTTGCCGTCATTCTATTTTAAAATGATGCTAAATACTCTGATATTGTGTTAATAATTATAAAAAAAAAGATTAATACTGAAGTAATAAATTTGAACCAATAATCCTAATGAAAATGCAATCTAAAATTCAGCTCAATACAAATTACTAATCATTTGGTGGAGCTAAACTATTGAGATATTATTATAAATCCATATCTTTTTATTCAGCTATTAAATCTAATATTGTAATTCAATAACAAATTTTAAATATTTAATTTTTATTGAAAAATGAAAATGCAAAATTATTAACTAATTAATTATTCATATTAAATTGGACTTATCATTAATTTAAATCATTTTGGCCAAATTAAGATCTCAGGTTATATCACCCAGCACTGTTTTTTTTACTAGTGATGGAATGATACTAAAATAGAGAAATTAATGATTTACATTACGAGCATGGTACATTCATTAATTAATAAACATCATGCTTACAACTGAAAAAAATTGGTAAATCCAAAATCAATCTTTTGAAAGAAATGTGAAAATTCTCCATTTATATGTGTATATGCATGCTTTTATTGTGTATTACAAGACACGATTGTAATCTTTTTCAGATAAAGTTAATATTGCAACATTTCCATCAAAGAAATTACAGCAAATTCTGTTTTACTCAAAGAACTATCCCATCATATCATATAGTGTTGCCATCTTTAGAAACTGTTTCATTGGCCAACATGATGACCAGGTAGGAAAAGATAAATGAGAAGATGCACTTTTTTTTTTCATGCTTCTTGCAATTGTCATGTCTTGTAAATGCTTTAATTTCATTGTATTTGCCTAAACGAGGTTTGGCAAGTGATGCAATGAACTGAACAAATATCATCGTCATGAGATGTAAGGAACCAAGTCCGAGCGTTATTTTATTTTACTTTTATTTTGCTTTTATTATATTTATTATTATTATATTATATTTATTTTATTATACTTATGTTTAGTTAGGACGAAGGTTTCCTCACCCGTCACCTTAGAAAGTTAAAAAGTGAAGATAAACCAACTAACCGACGACGAAAAGAAAGCGCCATAGCTAACACTCGCACTCACGTGCACGCCCGAGCGGCAGATAGAAAGTCCGCACTGAAAGGGGGGAAAGACCCCACAGACTTTTAGGAACTTGTTAAACCTTAAAGGAAACATCCCGATAATTGTTCAACAAAAGACTGTAAAAGGTTAACAAAGTATTGTTGGGAATTAAGCTACCAGATAAATGAGAAAAAAGTGAATGTTATGTGTAAGTATGTAAATGAGGGGAATGTCTCACTTAGAAACTGTGACGTCACCTCAGACTATAAATAGTGTAGCTCAAGTGAAGACGGGAGAGGTGAGCTCCTGCAAAGAAAGCGTTGGTGTGCTAGTAGCAGTGAACGAGGTGTCCAATAGGAAATAGTCCGAGGCGATTGCAGTATTCGATTTGTGGATCGAGGAATAGGAAAAGTCTTGAGTTGAGAAAAAGGTTTCTAGTATAATTGAGGTGACGGTTAGGATTTGTAGTTCTAAGAAATTCTGTACCTAAGTTAAGGAATGATTTTATCGGAATTCCAAGGGGACTAGTTCTAAGTTAGAATAAGATTGAAGTTTTGTCGGGTTGACTTTGGATTTGATTTTATTGAATAAATTTGTTGATTGTTGTATATATTGTAAATAGTATTTCTAGAATCTTTATTAAATATTTTTGATTTTTGACTAGACTAACTTGTCCTTAATTTACTTCGGTGCACGCGAAAAGTCCAGGCCTGGCAACTAACAAACGCAAACCCGCGTAAAGTACCCGTTAGGTAACGGCTCTCTGATTATAAGAATTGTTGTAGAGCGATCCGATAAAATAAGATAGTACTTTACAGAGTTAACCAATTTTTGAATTCATTCATTCAAACCATGAATGTCAAGAGTGACTCATCTTGTAAAACCACTTTTTAAGACTCAAAACAGCAGTAAACTTAGTTCTAACAAGTATTTTTACTCAAAATGTGCAAATCACATTTGAAAATTTAAAATATTATGCTTACAGCATCATTTGTGAATCATATCAAAAACTTTCATTATTACAATGAGAAAATCATTTTATCATTATAAGTAAACATACTATATATTAAAAATAATTTTGTATAATATTTTTTCAATTAAAATATAATTTTATATTTTAGCTGTCAAAACAGCTGACTGTGAGCTTTGATTTAAAACTAGACATCCTGATAGTTCAATTGATGTTTACTTGCTTATAAGGGCTATCCATAAATTACATCCACATTTCTCTTGAAATTTTTACCCTCTCTTGTCCCAGTTTCCATAACCCTCTCCTCTCTTTGGGCATCCAATAAAGCTCAACCCCCTCTTAAAACCATTATCACCATATGAATGATATATACCATAAGTAAAAATGAAACGTACAAAAACTTTTGAAATAATTGTAATAAAATGCATAAACTATATAAAATTTAATGAAATAAATGGACATCCACCGAAGTTCAATCTCCCTTGTACAACTTATCATAACCTCTGAAATTTTGTATTTTGTCTATTATTGATCTTATTTTGTCGCCCAAATGACCATCACCCACTTGCTGTCATCCAGTTGACAATGTCCCTGCATAATTGGATGGCAGAATGATATTTCTCATATAAATTATACCTGCACAAAAAGATTCACTGAACAGATAGCAGAAACAGACTGTAGAACATTTAAAATAGCACATGCAGTCACGTAAACAAGCTATGAAATTTATAAAGCACTTATTTAGTTCTGAAAATAGTCAAATCACAAAATATGCAGTAAAAATATTTTATGTGAGCTTTTAAATATGCATATAAAATATGTATTATCAGACTATCTTAATTTAATCTATTTAGACTCAAATTGTGTTTATATCAAGGCTACAACAGCATTTAAAAAATAAATATGCATGTGCATACAAATCCAGCCCTTAATGATAACCATCTAAATGTTATCTGCTGGTTTCAGTTCAAGCTAAATTATTATTTTGAAATATAGTTAAATATATGTATCATTGACTTTTAGTTTAAATTTTTCAGCAATGAATTCATGTTAAATATCAAATTCAAATAAACTAATACAGTAGAGCCTCGAAAACTCGGCACTCCGGATAACTCGGCCACTCCCTAGCAGGGCAAAAAAATCCTTAGTTAATTAATTTTCATTATAGACAGCTTTATGCCTCAAAGTATTTTTCTGAGGTCTGTCTTATCAGGTAAATTACTGTACACAGTGTATTCATTAATTTTCATTTTCATGTAGTAAAGGCTCTATGCCTTCATAAAGGTCGTACTTTTCCTTTGTTGTATTCTCAAGCAAACAATACATACAAGTACAGTACAATATTTTCTGAGGAAACACGCATACTTATCTTTTTTTTAACCCCATTCCTGATAACCCGGCATTTTCACAAACTCGGCCACCCTTTGGTCCACATTAGGCCGAGTTTTCGAGGCTCTACTGTATATATATATATTTATTATTAGATATTTTAGAGATTCATTCCCAATTCCAGTAAAAAGTTAATTTTGAAACAAAATAATCAAAGTTTGTATGAAGTCAGTAGTACATATTAATCAGAAAAATATAAAAGATAATATAAATTATTAGTACCTAAAATATTCTTTCATTTTGGTCACTAAATCATCTTTGATATCCTTTTTGTTTTCAAGTGGAATATCTGTAAAAAAAATATTTAAGAATAAAATACAAAAAAAATATTTAGGAATAAAATACAAAAAAAAATATTTTTATATAGTAAAACCTCAATTTAATGGACTAATTCAGGTGAAAGGATGTCCATTAACGCCAAACATCCATTTTCTGAATGTGCATATTAAAAATTGGCAAATTCATTAGTTTATCTGTTTTTACTTATGTATATACAGTATGTTTGTGTAGTTAAAATTAAGTATATATGAGAGGTTTAATTCCACAGAAAAGTTTTCTACCGTGTTTCCCCGAAAATAAGACAGTGTCTTATATTAATTTTTGCTCTGAAAAATGCACTAGGTCTTATTTTCAAGGAATGTCTTATTTTTCCAGGAAGAAGAATTCACATTTATTATTGAACAAAAAAATTCCCAAGTCGAACTTAGACAAGAGTGACATATATCCGGTGTGTCAAACTGTCGCCTTTTTATAGCACCAACATCGGACTCGATGACCAATTAGTGCTTAGTGAACCGTAGCACTATGTAAATGTCATGTGGCGTGATTCCCAGCCAACCAATTAGCCATCACCAGCCGTAACGTTATGCAAATCTGTGATTCCCAAGCCATAGTCTTATGCAAATCATGTCGTGTGATGTAATTGTCTGCTGACCAATCAGTGGCTGTACTTTCAAAAAGCCAACGGCCACTTTCAACCATCTGTCGATGACTGTTACGACTAAAAAAAACTTCGCTAGGTCTTACTTTCAGGGGGAGGTCTTATATTTCGCAATTCAGCAAACTCTCTGCTAGGTCTTATTTTCTGCGGATGTCTTATTTTCGGGGAAACACGGTATATGTATTATTACTTATGTACTCACCATAGTTCTGAGACTGTAATAAACAATAATACAATCTAAATCAAAATAAACAAATATGTTTTGAAAAATACATTCTAATTGTATTTAACTAAAGAAATAAATAATTTTTTTAAAAGTAGTGACTTTCATTTGAAAAAACAATAGCCTGTCAATTTAATTATATGTAAAAAGCATTTTAAAATTAACAGAGGTTTTTTTCCACTTATGACATATGGAACAGAAATTTCATCCATGAAATCAAGGTTTTACCATGATACTGAATAATAATTATATTATGATTTGATTTTATAACAAAAAATTAGTTAAGTTCAATATGACATAATTCACTGAAAAAATGTAATACTGTACAAAAGAGAAGAATAATTTACTATAAATCAATTTGACACTTTCATTATGATTTGAACAATTTAAATTAATTAAATATAATCATAGAAACTTAATATAAAACTGTTACATTTTTTCTCAGATTAATAATTAAAATTTTAAAGAATTATTCTGTCAGTACATAGGAAAGATTATATGTGTTCAGTGACAGTTGCCATTATAATTTCAACAATACTCATATATAAATTGTTTAAGATAGATAAGTTCACATACTGCTGTTTGTTTGATATGTTTTAACAAAGAATGATGTTTATGTACTTGAATAACAACAATGTTTATTAAACAATATATCTTGGAACAGACTGATGTAGACAGGAATGAAGTACTTTGATACACATATACCTATCTGCCTATCTCAGCTCAATTTATTCCTGTGAAGTATGGTAGGGCAATACATTGGAAAAATTATTTTGCTGTATAGTCCATCTAAACATGAAATTTCTTAGTAAATAAATATTAAAACAATGGGATCGGTTATTATGAATGTTAAAAACAATAATTCTAAAAAATTGTAAAATTTCCTAAGAATAAATAAGTTAAATTCACTCTTGTATCTGATTTCGAAAGAATTAAAAAACAGAGATGGACTACGACTTGAAACTTATTAATTATCTCTTAGTTTCAAGTTGTAGTCCATCTNTAAAACAATGGGATCGGTTATTATAGATATTAAAAATAATAAATTCTAAAAAAAAATTTTTGTAAAATTCCTTAAGAATAAGCAAGTTAAAATTCACTCTTTTGTATCCGATTTCGAAAGAACTAAAAACAGAGATGAACTTGAAACTTATTAATTATTTCTTACTTTATTTTTCATTTTTCTCCATATATATTAATTCTTTCGAAATCGGATACAAAAGAGTGAATTTTAACTTGCTTATTCTTAAGGAATTTTACAAAAAATTTTTTTAGAATTTATTATTTTTGATGAAATTTCTTATTTGAAAAGAAAACCACAAATTAGAAATATATTTTCTGAACAAACAAATATATTATCTGTGGAAATTTCAAATATTATAGGGCAGTTTCAAGTTTTGGATATTTTTAGGAATACAAAAAAACAACTTATTCATAAAGTTGCTAAATGATCTATCTTCTTAATGTTTGGTAATTTTCAGTGATTCAAAGTGCCCTTATTAGGGGAATTAATCTATTTCAATGCTGGGGTAAATGGATACAAACAATGATATTAAGAAAAATCAAATTTAAAAAAAAAAAATATGCAAGTTATTAATCATTTAAAGTTCAAATTTATTTTAATAATGTAAATATAATTAGATTAGAATTTTTATTAATGATCTAACAAAGTTATCGATTTATAAAATTTTAGATAAACATGTCTATGAATATAAATATTTTCAGAAGTAAATTACTTTAATCAATTATTTTTGCAATATCTATAAAATAGCAGTAGAATTTTAAATCTTCAACTCTCAAAATTGTCAAAAGAGATCTAATGCAGAATATATTGATAATATAATAGATAATATATTTACTTAATTACTAGAATTTACTTTGAATCCTTTTCTAATCTATTATTTTTATATATTTCAAAAATTAATTAAATTAAAAATTACTAAAAATATAATAATTCATAGGTTTGTTTGTGGTCTTCCTTTCTCCATAGATGGCACTACTTCAAAACATTTATTATTTATGATTATTTTTATTGTTATGTTGTTATTAATTTTATTTTTATTATTATAATATTCAAAGCTGGATTGTTCAATAGATGACACTAAATCTAACTGTTCAACATTGCCATTTTTTATTCACAAGTGTAGTAGTATATCAATATCTAAGAAAATGCCTAAGACAGTTTGTTTTAATAAACAGTCTTATCTTATTCAAGAAACTGAAAGAATATTAAGGTCTCTATTACTCAGAAATGACACCAAGGAAACCTTTTTCAAGTCTATAAAATTTTTGACACAGTTCTGTATCTGAAATGCAAATGGCAGAGGTGTCTGCACTGTCATGGTTTGTCATGTTGTCCTGGTTGGGTAAGTCTGAAAGTGATTAGCATTCAATGGGAGCATAATATGTTAACTAGAGTAAGGAGTTTGGATAAAAACATTTTACCCTTTTCTCCATGTTATAGTAACATATTAACAATGGGCTCCGATCAATCTGACTGAGACAAAAGACAAGACCATTAATTACATAGTTCCCAGTCATGTATGACAGGGTACTTACTACACAGTATCCAGTACAAATATAAGAGTCATCCAAATGAAAATGAGACTTTTGGGTTTTTTATGTAATGGTTTATTGGTTGGAATGTGTGAACATACAGGAAATAATATTGATACAAAGATTGCCTATATGTTACACACAATTGTCTTGTTGATTCAACTAAGTGTCTCAGCATGTCACTAGATTTTGGATATCATGAGCAAAGAATGTCCATGATCAGCAGAGTCAGTCTTCAACAGCCTTTTGACCTCAGTATCACAAGCAAACCAGAGGCTTTTGAGAGCTTTCTTCAGTAGTCCGAAGATATGGTAGTTGCAAGATGACAAGTCAGGGTTAACACTCCAGATGAAGTGTTACAGCAAATCTTGGCACTATTACCACATGCAGGTATGCAATGCCGTGCAACAGAATAACCCCATTCACAACATACCAAGTCACTCCTAAAAGCCATTTGAGTTTGTGTAACATATTGCACTATATGGTTGAGTGAATCTATGCCATAACTGTATGTAGTCAACTTGCTTCAGCACATACAAACAGCACACTAACACTTTCCAACAATAACACCTTGCTTTCTAACACACTACACCACCTACCAAAGGTGTGCAGACACAAAGCTCTGTGTATTGAAACAACAACACTAATACACAAGTATCACTTTCCTTTGAGATATCCATATATATTTACTTATATTAATATATTCATTAATAATTAATCGTTTCTAGTCTAATTACATTCAAATCATGTAATTCTAGTCTAATTATGTAATTAATAAGCCTATTGTCAAAAACATATATATGCATGCACAAGAAGTAATTTTTCCTCAAATTTAGTTTAATTTCTTTTTATACTTTCATGTTGTCAAGTTAAATACAATTCATATTTAATATTCAATATATTAATAAAACATACTGAAAATCAGATATATTATTATTGTTAAGTTTAAATAAAGCATATAATTATTTACTTGGTAATTCAGGAATAAACTTGTCTGGACACAGAGCTTTAGCTTCTGGTGGAAATAACTGTAGTAACTGAAAAATGATTTATTATAAATTAGAAATTGAATCAAGTTATTTTGATCATATATATTTTAAACTCTAATCAAAATAAAACTAATCACATAAAATTTCACAGAAGACTGTTAAATTTTGATACCAATTTAATATGTAAATAAAATTATATATTAAAATAATAAGCCAAATTTAACAATAAAATTCATTTCAATTCATATTTCTCACATTAATTTAAATAGTAACCTAGACCAATGATTCCCAACTAGAGGTATGTATACTTCCAGGAATGGTGATTTTGGGGTATGCAAAAAAAAAAATTAATAATGGTAATGTACTATAACAATATTCATATTCTGCATTGAAGCCTTTGGCAATATCATAGCATTTGATTCTAAGTTTTAAATAAAAATATAATTATATTTTTATTATATTTAGCTGTGTCTTCCTCCAATGCTTTTTGATTTAAAACAACTTTTTTACATGTAATTGTAAAGTGTTGTATAATTGACCAAGGCACCACTGTTTGACGAACACAAAATAAAACTTACGAAAATGGATTGCCAGGTGGTATGCAAGTCAAAAGAGGTTGGGAACTGCTGACCTAGACTGAAATGTTGTGGATCATAAAATTTTTCAGTTTTTATTCAGTGTAAACCACAAGAAATTTCAAACTATTTCTATCTAAATTCAAAACTAAAAAAGTGTATATTTGACAATTAGTTTTAAAATTTCAATATGAAATCAAAAGGTTTAATCCCAAAAGGTATAATAATACTATTACAAAATTTTCTATTGTTTGTTTTTCTTTCTTTATTTCAAATTATATAATTCATTAAATTTAAGAATCAAATTACAGGTATTCCTTGTATAATACAGTACTTACATTCTGAAAAAGTGACATGTTATGCAAATCTGTGCTACACAAAATAAAGGACTAGTGCAAAACATAGGGAAAACCAAAAGTTAACAAAAGTATCTTATTCTTTTTCATTACTATGAGAAATATATTTATTAAAGCAATCAATAATTTATTTCCTATCAATAATTAACTAACAATCACAATTAAAAGTATGATTCAGCTGAGTACCAAGCAATTTTTTTCCAGAATTTGTGTTTGAATATCAAATTGTTTAAGATGGAAACAGTTCAAGTACCAAGATACTGCTGTATTTCATAATTTTTACAAATGATTGCTTACCCATGATTAATGACATTTACCTAAAAATGTTTAAATAAATTAATCTATAAAAACAAAACACATTGACAGACATAAAGACTAAAGTCTGAAAGCAACGACGACAGCACCTGGTTGATAGGAAAGCTAACACAAGAAAAAAAAAATTGTACTAGAAGTTTTCATTAAAGTAAACCTGACAAAAGGTTTAAAACAAATTAAAAATTTCAATATTCTAAAATGCATAGGCAAATTTGAGACAACACACATGCTTACTTAAATAAAAAAAAATATTGAATAATGGAGTTTGCACTTAAAAATTGTGAAATTTTGTAAAGAGGATTTTCCAAATTCTAAAACTGTGTTAGAGCAAAACCATGTTATATAAATGCTGTATTGTATGGAGGATACCTGTATTTAACATAATTGCCATTTTGATTAAAAAATATATTTTTATTACTACATCTTTTAACCATTAGTAATTCCATAGACAGAGATGAAAATAACATGTATTTTGAATGAACAAAACAAATATTCTTTCTTTAAAAACAATTATCCCTAAAAATTTGAATTTAATCAAAACAAAAAATTCTAAATGAAAATTAAAGTTTTTATCTTGATTACATAATTGATTATATAATTATCTAAATATCAATTATTAAAATATTTAAATGTCTTACTTAGTTACAATAAATTAAATTATAGAAAAAGTATTTTTTTAACTGTTACTCTTTTGAAAGTATGTCTAAAAATGATCATAACTTTCAAAATTAACATTTTTGGAAAAACTATTTTAAATAAAACTTTAGATTTTCAAATAGGACCACTATTTTTTTTTTCTATTTTTAGATTCCCAATTAAAAAAAAATAAAATTGGCTCCTGCTCCTTATAGGAGTGGCAGGGTGGCATAACTTTTATGGAATTGAAAAAAAAACCCTTAAAAATACATAACTTTTATTCTCATCAATTTTTTAATTGAATGCATGTTTTACAAGATAGTTGTTAGGAACATTTTAAATAAACCAGCCTGTATATACTGTATAAAGAAATAAACATCAAAAAATGTCACACAACCAATCAGAATTCATGATATGTCATATAGAGTCCACCAATCATATATAGTCACCTACCAACACACTCCAGCAAACTGGAGGAGCTGCCATTATTTTTCTCTCATTTCAAAGATTTGATCAAAAATTTCCAGTACTTACAGCACACTTTGATTTAAAAGACTGTTATAATCTGCATATAATGTAATAGTAGTTACATATATTTATTAAATATTTTCCTATTTACTTTCATGTTTAGTTGTTTAATATGAAAACAATTCCTACTCCAGTGATTGTAATTGTGGTGAATCCAGTTCCATTATAATCCAGTTCTGTTTTATCTTTTAGAATTTACTTTCTTAATTTTTTAAAGTAATTTTTTAATTAAAAAATTTTTATTCTACAAACTTTTTTATCCTAAATATCTGTCTCACACATAGCCAATCAATACAATTAATTTAAAATAATACTTTGCTTTATTAACATGTATCAATTCTTAAATTTACTTTAAAATATTTAACTGTAACAAAAACAAATATAATCCACGTTGAAAAATTAAAGGAATTTAATACAGTCTATATCATGTATATATTAGCAGTATGATAGCTTCTTGTGCCTGCCATAAAAACAAGTTCAGAACTTGGCACTGTGGGGGAAGATGAGAAAAAACAGAAAATTGCTTTGTGTGTGTTGGGTGCACAACCAAAATGTGTGCGCGCAATTCTGAATTATTAAGCACAATGTGTGCATGTGTGCACACTATCAGGAACCCAGCACATAACACATATAACTGAGAAAAACATGTCTGCTCATCTGTTTCAAGTAAGAATCTCTAGTTGATAAGTTTAAAAAAAAATCAAGAAAGAAATTTAAGATTGATCATTAGTTTCAATTATGTAATGTCAATTATGTAATTATGTCTATAGTTCCATTAATTCTATAAAACAACTCAAATATTTTAAATTCTTTTTCAGTTGCTGCTTATCAAATGACATCAGTTCTATCTGACTAAAAATATTCTGAAGTCAATGCTAATTAGAATTCAGATGATCTAATTTAATTAATTTTGAAGATCTAAAGACAAAACCAATGGCAATATCAAAATGTTCTAAGAGTTGTCAAGTATTAAATTTTGACTTAAAATATTTTTTAAAATTTTGGACTTTTCTGAAAACAAACTCAACACACATCTTTCAAATACAGTTTCATTTTTTTTTTTTGTAAAATAACTGTATTTATTTCAAAAATTTCATGTGAGTCAGTGAGTTAATGAAGTCAATGTAATTTTATATATTACAGTAAAACCTCTCTGACACTCATTTAGATAACCAGATTTTCTTAGAAAATAATTTTTATTCTGCAGGACTCTGTTTTTAATCCTCATTTATCCAACCATTTACCCAATCACTGATCAATTTGACTCATAATTCCTTTGAGACAACCAGTTCTTCAATTTTATCATCATCTGGAACAAATCCAGAAGGATGATAAAATTGAAAATCATGGGCATTTACGATGCACAATGTATGTTTCACTGTTTTGTTAGGTGTAAAAACTCACCTTAATCTTTTTTCCAGTTTCAAGGTCTCTATTTTCTTCTATTTAGTACTATTGTGTTCCATAGCAGGTACAGATATCCCTTGCTTAACGTGAGATTTAATTAATGTGCAAAATTAATTGTGGCAATCTCATTTCATACACAACAGAAATTTTACTTAATACAGCTTTAACAGCTGTCTTTACTTAACATAGGTATGTTTTTCTTGGCAAATGAAGTGTTGGTGAATTTGCTATTTTTATTTATTAAAATAAAAATATTTGTTATTAATCAAAAATTTGTTCTACTGCATGGTGATTGTTTAGTTGAGTACTAAGGTACCTCTGTACTTGATTAACACAATTTTGATATATGTGGTAGCATTCACAGATTAATTAATCACATTAATCAAGAGATACCTGTATATAATTTGCTGTTAATATCCCTGTATATTATTCTTATTAAACCAAATAATACAACAAAACCAATGAATTTAATCTTTCCATTAATAGGGATAAATAAAATGGTAAATAATGATGAATTCTGAATATTTTTGAAATTTGTTTGACCTAAAGGAGGGATCTGTTTGATCAAATAGAAAAGAAATATTGATGGCATCATCTTATCAAAACAAGGTAATCGGAGTAAAAAAAATGTACTTTTCAGATTACCTTAAATCAATATTTAAGACAGTATGTAAGTATACAAAGTTAGACGTGATATATTTATAAATAAATTTTCTTGCAACAAAACTATTTAAAAATGCTATGTATTGATTAGCAATCAATACATAGCTTTTTATACTTACATACTGTTTTTTTAAATACTTTTGTATTTAAAAAAACAGTATGTAAAACAGTATGTAAGTATACAATGTATTTACATTGTATACTTACATACTGTTTTTTTTAAATAGTTTTGCTGTATTTTACATACTGCATTTTTAAATAGTTTTGCTTATTTTATACACAGTAGTCTGTGTATAAAATACAGCAAAACTAGAATATTACAATATGTATAATATGTAGAAATGTATTACTATTGGACAATACTATATATACAGTACTCTGTATCCATTATTTTTACTCATCATTCCATTTGACAAGAACACACTGCTTAAAATGACCAATTTTTCAAAGTTTTGGAAGTGTCATCTTAAAAATGTTTTACTGTATATAATATAGATACTTTAATATTTTAAATATAACTCCAGAAAAAGAGTAAATTCATTTATTTTTTTGGAATAATGAAATTCAAAAATTTTTGAGTATCATTACAATTACATACATAATTTAGAAAAACAAACAATTTTTTAATTAGATTGCTATTTTAAACAATATGAAGTAATACTTACCCTGTTATGAAAGCTGCAGACATCTTGATGAGTCTTAAATATTTCTATCTGTTCATCAGTGGTCCATGTTACCTAATAAATATGATGTTTCTTTTGAAAATTCATTTTAAATTTAACAGGAATAATATTTTCAGATTTTAGTGTAATTAAGTTAAATACTTAGTGAGATAAATAAATATTAATTTATGATTATTATTTACAATTAGTGTAAGCTATTACTTTACAAAAATAATTATATTAAAAAAAATTTAAATGCATTAATCATAATGCATTTAAATTCTTGAAAATGTAGATTTAAAAAATTGAATCTTATTCATACACATTCAAATTATTACTTGGTATCTATATACTTAATAACTACAAAATAACTCTAAAAATTTAATGATTATAATTTATCAATACAATAAGAAATAAGATTTTATTTCTACTTTAAATAACCAATATTCCAATAATTATCAAATTCTACTAAGGCAGTTACTAACAACAAATTCTCACAATAAAATTGAAAACAAATTTTTTGCAATATCACAACACTACTGAAATCAGGACTGGGAAATTGGCATTTCTTTTTCTTTCTTTTTTTTTGCCAACTAACTCAGACTCCTTAGTATTTATATACTACCCCTGAACAAAAGTATGGAATATTTTGTAATTGCTGCAGAAAAATTATTTTGATTCTTAAATAATCAAACTGACAAAAATATTATTGAACTTTTAATAATTAGCAAATATAATAGACATATTAGAGTATTTACACATCAAACATTGTAAAGATATTTGCATAAATTACAAAATTGCAGCATTTTAAACAAAGTAAGAGTTGAACAAAAGTATAGAATAATGATGATTAATATTTTGTAGGGTCACCTTTTGCCCTAATTAGTCTTAATTTGTGGTATTGTAGAAATAAGTTTTCTACACAGTTCCAAATCAACCTGTGACCAAGTTCTTTGACTGTCTTCTTTAATTCTTCTATTGTTGTAGTTCATTTTTTTTAGAGATCATTTTCTTCAGAATATTCCAAACATTTTCAATTGGAGATATATCTGGACTATTGGCATGCCATTCTAAACACTGTATGTTATGTTCTTGAAACCATTGCATAATTTGTCTAGCCGTATGGCATGATGCATTATCATCCTGGTAGATGAAATCCTCATTACCAAAGTGATCTTCTGATGTTTTAACAACCAAAGATTCTAATAACTACAAGTAACCATCAGCATTCAATGTACAATTAAGGATTGCCTTTTCACCAACTCCTTTACATCCTCATATCATTACACTTTTACGAAATTTTGCTGATGAATTTAAACATTCAAAATGGAATTTTTCATCTGATCTTTATGTACTGCCATATTACCATAGCCAATACATAGTTTTGATTCATCTGTGAACATAACTCATTGCCAGTCATTAAGAGTTTTGGTCCATTTCAAACAATTTTTCTTTTGTTATTTTTGTCAGATAGAGTTTTGTTTTGACTTTTCTTGAGTGGTAACCTTTTTTTGCTAGACTGCTTATTGTAATGTCTGATACATTAACACATTAACATCTATCTCTCCACTTTGAATTAATGTTGCTTGATGACAAATATCTGTTTTCCTTAACAATTTTAATTAAGTCGCCTCTCTTGGTTGTAGTTTCTTGGTCTTCCAACTTGTTGCTGATTTTTACAGTTCTAAATGTTTTAGACTTTGAAATTATTTTTGAAACCGTTCTTTGAGAGCATTGTAATGTTTTTGCTATTATTCTCTGTAATTTTTCTTCTTGATGTGTCAAAATTATTAACTGTTTCTTACCTTCACTTAATTTACTACTCAGTGCCATCATTCACTTCATTATCATGTTCACTGCAATTTTATACTTCACTATAATGACATCATAAAATTTATTTACAAGAGTATTATTCATTTTAGCATGTTAAAATCTAAATTTTTTAATATAATAATCATCAATATATTCCATACTTTAATATTTTTATGATTCCATATTTTTGTTAAACTCCAACTTTTATTTTTTTTAAAATACTTTAACTTTGTAATTTGTGTAAATGTCTTCATAAAGTTTGGTGTGTAAATACTCTAATATGTCTATTATATTTGCCAATTATTAAAAGTTCAATAATATTTTTGTCAGTTTGATTATTTAAGGATCAAAATAATTTTTTGCAGAATAAAATATTCCATACTTTTGTTCAGAGGTTATATGTTATCCATCATTTATCACAGAAATAACACTGCCAAATTTCAAAATTTTAGGTTTATCCATTCCTGAAAAATAATACAAAACACACAACAATTTTATAAGTTTTTTTTTACATTTTTTGAACTCAGTGTGTCAAAACATCAAAAAATGCAAAAAAAAAAAAAAAAGAGAGAAGGGATTAAAATCTAACTGATCACTGTACTTTGCCTATGTTATAGTCTATAATAACCAGGAGAGTAAAAATAATTATGAAATATAGAGTTAGTTAAGGCATCCAGCCCTAATCAAAATACCATATTATCAATTTAATATTTAGACCTATTGATGTAAATTGACATCCATGACAAAATTATACTATAATTAAAAATATGTATTTTACTTATAAATTTTAAAGCAATTATTAAAAGTAAAATTTACTTTAACTTTCAATCAATAAAACTTACACATATATTTTTAATCTATATTTATAAAATTACATGTCCTGACTGACTGACTGATTCATCATTGCCCAGAGAAAATCACTGAACCTAACGAGGTGATATTTGGTACACAGTTAGGGTACGTCATGAATATGCACACTAAGAAGGGATTTTTGGAAATTCCACCATGGGGGAGAGGATTAAGACTTAACCTGAAGAACGACTTCTACTGTACTATTTTAGATGCAATTTTTTGTTTTTAACTGTGTTTTAGAAGGGTACGCAATGAGAATGCACACTAAGAAGGGATTTTTGGAAATTCCATGAGGGGGAGAGGGAGAGAGAGAGGATTAAGGCTTAAAAAGTCTTAGCCCTGAAAGGCAGTACCACAAACGTGGTTTACAAAGAGGTACTGGGATAACTGAAACTCTATTTTTCTGTAAATATTTAAACTTAAATGACATTATCTAAAATTTCCTAATGTTTTGAAAAAAAAATTAAACTCAGATTTATCATATCTCAGAATCCCATATTATTTGAAAAATGAATTTAGGTGCATTACCAGTCCATAGTTTGAAACAAACAAAAATCAGTAATTTTACCAAATTAGTAACAACTAATGAATGAGAATCTTAGTGAAGTACCGAGGGAGGGTTATTTCTATCAAATTGCAAAATCCACGTGGGCAAAGCCACAGATAACAGCTAGTTAAAGAATAAATTAAAGAAATTTTACTATACATCATTCAGAATGCAAAATATAAAAGTTGAATATAATAAATAATTTTCAAAGAAATTTTGTACTTACTCTTATCCTGTATGTCTTTTCACATACTTCTAACAGTTCTAAAGCTGAAATAAATGCTAAAAATAAACAACAAAAAATCATTACTATCAAAAATTTATTCTGTACTTATAATGAATTAATTTTCCAAAAAATACTAAATTCAAATATTTCTAATGAAAGCTAGTTAATAAAGAAATCACAAAAAATATGTTACTTCTTTATTCATAAACTTTATTAATCTCTTTAAACTTCTAAATACTAATGAGTAAATGATTTCATTTACTCATTAGTATTTAGAAGTTTAAAGTATTGAAGTAATTAATAAAATAGAATATTCTAATAAATCAACCATTGAATTAGTTCATAAGAAAACTAATCCATATGAAATTTATGATCATATTTTATATGCTCCTTTAAAACATTTTAGCATACCAGATACATTAAAAATCATTTACTCAGTTTTTCCATTATTTTATTGCTAGATATTCTTTTTATAGTCATTTTGCTTGCTAATTAATTGTTAGTTACCAAAACATAATGTATGTATATGCTCTTGTCTTAAAAAACTAAATAAGCCTGACATCAATTTTCTGCAATGTAAATAGCATTACACTAATATCTCATTTCTTGCTATATTCCATGATGATTAACAGTAGAAATGACATATTCAGTTCAAGTTTATAGGATCTCTAATTTTCATGAAATACAATCTTGTCTTAAACACATCCAAAAAGGAGAAATTTTGATTATTATCAGTGATTATGGAGGTCACAAAATTGAATCATCTCAATCAAATCCATATACTTTAAAAAAGTCACATTCAGATAATTTTTATTGATGTTGCATACAGGATCCATACAGATAGATAATTCCATCTGTGATTCCCTGACCAATTATGATATTCTGACCTATTAAGGTCTTTGCATTTCCCCTTTACATTGTGTAATAATTGGCCAAGTCTATTTAAGCCCATTTTGTACACAATTACATAAATTTTTTTTATTAAAAAAACATTTATTCCCTTAAAAAAACAAAAAAACTTTGCATAAAATCAATTACATAATTAGCAACGTCATTTCTACATCATATAAAAAATTTCATAATTTTTTAAAAGTTAATTTGTAAAGTTTAATTAAATAAGAAAAAGACTTACACTGCATCATGAAATTGAATTTTCTGAGAGGAGATGGGAAATTCAAAATAATTTAAACAGAATAAATTGCACACTCCATGAGAGAGAGGGAGATCACTTATCACATGCTATTTTTGGTCCAGCACCGACCCTTTCAAGGTCATTACATTTCTTCCCATCCCTCCATGAAACTTATAATGGAAGCAGCAAGGTTTTGGTGGGAAAGTGGGTTGTTGTTGATGGTGTTTTTGAAAATCCAATTTTAACTCTATTGCAATATTTTGGTATACTTCCAAAAAATGTGGATTTCCAAAATTCCACAGGTCATCTGAAGATGAAAATATGCAGTTAGAGAGAAGACATATCACAAATCATCAATCCATCAAAATTGGCAGGATTATTATCTCCACATACTGCATATGGCCAGCAACAAAGAAAAATACATGAATTGTGTGAGGTTCACCATGCAGTCCAAAATGTTCCATACAATATTATATATACAATATTGCTAAGCCAACTGGACAGTTCTTTGCCTCCCCCTACAGCATCAACTGACTGCAGAGTTAACCAGATGTCACAGAGGTAAAAAAAAATTGAGAGGGTTGTGTATGGGACACAATTGCAATCATTTAAGGTGTGAATCTGTCTTTGTGTTATTAGAAGAAGGATAAGATATAAACGAATAGTCTTGGTAGTTGCCACAAGTCAATATCTATCAATTCATGCGGAAGCACACTCAAAGTATTTGCATCAGAGTTGATACACTTAGTTTTCTTACGCTATCTATACAACCTGCATCATTCAGCATTAGTCATTTTGGGTTTTTCTGATTTCTTTTAAATTTTTCTTTCCAACGATATATGTTTCTTACATTTCTGTTCATATTTCCTTTGCAATATCTTTGACATTATGAAAATTTTCTTCAATTCACACACTTATTGGCTTATAAGTTTACAAATTCTATTTTATTGGTTATTATTGTTAAATAATATTGTATGTCCTGTCATTCTGTACAAATCAACAATTTCAACATCCTACCTCTTCATAATCCAAAGTTATACACTGTTCAAACGCAAGTACAAATCCGCTCACAGCTGACATCCCACTACCACTAATTTAAATTTAAACGTAAGCCCTCTATCCAACAAAATTTTAATCATTAGATTATCATTTATATAATCATGGAGATATAAGCATGGCAAATCTTGCCATTCTTTTGGTCGTTCCAGTTTTCATATACCCCCCTATACCAAATTGAATTTAAAGACATATTCAGATCAAAAAGGAGCGAGAGCAACAGATGGATTCCGTGGTAATTGCAGATTCCCTGACATTTGATTCCATTCTCTGATTTTTTCTGCTAACAATCTTATTCTCTGACTTTCCAGGTTGATATGGACTCGGTACATACATAGAAATGTTTACTGATTTTAGTTTCTTTCAAAAAATATACCTGAAGTCAAACATTTTGTTTCAATGCTATAAACATCATCACCCGAAATAAAAAATTCTTGAAAAATTCAATGCAATCTGTAGCAAATCAAATACATTGTGTTTCTCAAACATTATTCTTAAACTACAAAATTACAATTTTATTTTGCAGCATTTTTAATCAACTATTAGACTATTATTGTTAATATAAATATTTACAGAAATATTAGCAAAGATAAAATATAATTTGAAATAATGTCTTTACAATTAAGAAATTTTTTAAACTCAAAAAATTTAAAAATTGTCACAGTAATGGAAAATGGTCCTAACTGCCAAATGATACATTCTCAATTATGCTTATCAGAACAACATATATTTTCCACTTTTTATTTGACTGAATTTTGATCATTACAGTTGGTAGTAAGTGATCACTATAAAGTTTCTTTGATGATGAAAAGTCCTATGTGACATATAACAAATATCACTTAGGACAGTTCTCTACTACTGCAACAAAACACAGATTCCCATTTACAATTTTTAAAATTTTTCATGTCTATAAATAATTATCTATTAAATAATACCGTAGTTATAAATTAATATATACCTTGATTAGGAGAAAATCTTAATCGTGTTTGTGCTGTTGAAATTTGAAACTGAGATCCAGTAGTTCTATGTGAGGAAACAGTAGCAACTGTTGAAATTGGAATTGCTGGCAACGAGGCTGATGAAAATGAATTCACGTGTACCTTTGAAACTGATGGCAATGATGTTGCTATTTGAAGAGAATTTTCACAATATTCAACCTGTAAAACAATGTTTTCAAAAAAAATATTTTCTTATTTTTTGTTAGATGTTAAAATATACTTAAACAATATTAATCTTTAAAAGACTAATTGCAAATTGATTAACTGATCAAACTAAAATTCTAAAGATAAATTTTTATTGCCAAAAAATTAAAACTTTTCAAATGCTAGGAAATTATAATGTTATAATTTTTTTATTTATTATAAAATACACATTAAATTTGTTAAAATTAAGTTTTAAATTTGTGGGTGAATTTAAAATGTAATGCATTCATTCAGAAGATAATTTTCTGAAAGATTAGCCTAGCAGACATTCAGTTATAATTAGCAATTACTTTTCATACTTTTAACAAAATTATAGATACAAGGTTTTAATATTTTTTAAATAAACAAACAATGTAAGTCAAAAGGAAAGACTTTTTTAGATTAAAAAATGCTTTATTATAATGACAATGTCTCTATATGGAATTATGAGCATAATTCCACACAGACAGATTTCATCAAGACAGAAAAATGTAAATATGATATTAGTCACTATAAAATATAACAAAACACCAATTAAAAACTGAAATAATTTTTTGATAAAATTTAATGATAATTTAAGTTCTTTTATGGATAATTTCTTAATAGAGATACAGTAGAAACTCAATTATCCAAGACAGTTAAAATAAAAAAATATATATGTAGCATTATGCACACCACAGAGTATAATGCACAGAAACAAACTCCATATAAATGAAAATTACTACATCTTTTGGATTGTAGCATCATGAAACTAGGCCATATATGTAATATTATGTTAGATTTTGAATAAATCTGTTTATTTTTAAATACAGTTACAGCATTACAGTATTTATAATTAATAAAACTTTAAATGCATAATTCTTGATGTACCCAAAACAAAAACAAACAAGTTTCTGGATCATCTAAAAGACTCCTGATCCTATCAAGTTTCCACTATATAATAGAGTCCCAATTACCAAATTTCACATTATCTAAAGTGAACTGTAAAAAAGTACCCTGTCCGTAAGGTCAAAAGAATGTAGTAGAGTATAATTAGTTTCATTAATCTTGAACAGATAATGTACAATGTGCAAAAGGAAAGTCTACAAAAAAAATTTACTCTGGTGACTCCTCACGGCAATATGAATTTTAAAATGTTATGAAATATTAACATTTCATAACATTTTAAAATTCAAAAAGCAGTCCAACCACAATTGCTCTCATTAATGCACATGCATTGCTTACATTATTACTGTATTAGCCCGAATATAACGCGACCCCGAATTTAACGCGACTCCAAAATTTTCATAAAGATATTTAGAAAAAAATAATACTCATAAAAGAATTCAAAGAAAGTAAAATTCAATCAGATAAGCATTTATTTATGTAATTACAGTAGAGCGTCGTTTATCCGAATCAATTGGGGACTGGGGTGGTTCGGATAACTTATTTTTCGGATAACGAATCATGTACGAAAAAATATATGAATTTATCCCATGTTGAAATTTTTCTCCATTGCGTGTCGCTTCGCATTGAATTTTCGTCGATGTTAAGCCTAACGAAGACTATTGTATCGTTAAAAATTATTTTTTTATTTTGTACAAACAAAATAAATATATTGAAAAATATAAAAACCATAAAACATTATACTTCAGATGTTAATTTAGTATCAAAAACGTAAAATATT